AAAAAAAAAATGTTAAGATAAAAAATATGTTAATTATCATGTGAAATATATGCATAGCGAGATTAAAAGCGATATGCATTTGTCGTTTAAATTTGTTATATATACCGATACGTGACCTTATGCTATTTTGCTTGATGATTTACTTGACGGCTACCACAGTCTCTTCCACCCCCAAATGGGCCCATGTTTGGGTTTAAAAATATCCAGAGCGTAAGCCTTGGTTTCATATCCTATTACTGCGATAACCTTTCGAATGATGAACATTCCAAACGCTGGCGAGGTCAATAGGCCAATGCCCGTTTAAAAGTGTACCATGGCCGCTTTCGGCTGTACAATTGGACAGAAACGAACAATTAAAGTGTAACGCAGAAGTGTACCACAAAAGTGTAACGCGGTACACAAACGAAGTATAAATGCTTCGTTTGTGTACCACACCAAAGTGTACCATGGTACAGAAACGAAGTATAAATGCTTCGTTTGTGTACCACACGAAAGTGTACCATGGTACAGAAACGAAGTATAAATGCTTCAAATGTGCCTGGCCGCCTTCGGCCATCGTACTTCCAACTATTGTTTCTAAGGAAGTGCCAACATTTTAGTTTTGTCCTTGCTTGGTAACGAGTATGGGTCTCGCTGGGTATAAAAAGCGCATTACCTGTCAAACAGGTTATTATTTGTTCAACACGTGCGTAAGGTGACACTACTATAATATATATAACACTTTCATGATTTTTCACTGACATTTTGTATCAGATCAGTTGAATAAAATTAAAATGGAACATATCAAAGTAAGCATTTATCTAAGAAAAGTGGAAATAGTAATAAAATACGACCGATTAAAATAAAATGCACAATCCCTGCCCCTCCCCAGAAAAACGGCTCTGAATGAAGGAAACATACGACTAATGCTAATGCCTACCTTTTAGATATCCAACTAGTTATAACCTCCTGTGTGAAAACAATACTAATTCCAATCATTTCCATGAGAACAGTTCAATTGTCAAATTTCACATTGTTGACTACACACCTGGTATTGTCTCATAACCCACCTTACCCTTTTTGACGTTATATATATCACATAGTCCATATCATCTATTCGTTATCTCTTTTATTATTTTAACTCCCTTTTTATTTTAATTATCTGCACATACAGATGAGTAAATGAGGCAGCAGCAATTTGATTGACAGATTAATTCTGGATGCTATCAATGAAGGAATTATCAGATTTTAATCAAACTTGCCTGATATACTTTTTACCTAAGTTAAGCTGGCTCAAGTTTGATGCTCAGCCAAATTCACAAATATTCAATGAGGCTGCTGTATATTGATTTGTTACTGGTTTGAGGATGATACTGAAGGAATTGTCAGATTTTGGTAAAACTTGTCTGCATCTTCTTCAGAATAAGTAGTTGGTAGGTGTTTTGAATGAGATTAATTTACTCAAGCAGTGTAAGTTTGGGGAAGGTGCACATATAAAGCCCAGTAAATCTCACAAGGAAGTAGATTATAGAATACTCAGTTGTCCTGTGCACATTTCAAATTGTCTGCAATTTCGGAAATGCGGGTGATTTGTGTTGAAAAAAAGTCATAAAGATTTTGTGAATAAAAGTATTATCTTTTCATCAAACATAGCTGTCTTCATTTTCTGACTGCAACACAAAATATGTTACCGAAGCAATTGTAACTGGATACGGTCGCTCGACAATGTGTTGCTTCGGAGGCTGTGTATGTATCCGATTCCCTGGATATCCGACCCAAAAGTTTTGTCGCCACCTCGGAGAGTTGTAGGTTCGTTTCAGGGTTAAATGATAAAAATCTAGATAATGTTTCGTTAAGATTTTAAAAAATAACAGTGATAACGCCATAAAAGTTTGAAATGGAATATTAATATCTTCTGTGTTACTGGAGAGGTATCGCTTTAACTGATGTATATTTCGACTGTGGCTGACAAAATGGATCATTTTGTAACGTAAAACCACGAATGTGAGACTATACACTTGAGTACTGACATAGGACTTGGCAAGTGATACATGTCATGGGTTGCATTGTAATTATAGATTTTTTTGTTATTTTTTGCTATTTTGAAGATAATTTAGAGAGTTTCCTTCCAATATCAAATTTTGAAACGTACTTTCAATACCTGTCAAATTGTTGTTGGGAAAAAAGAATGGTTTAGCTAGTTACTATTTATTAGCTCACCTGTCCAAAGGCCCAGGGCCAGATGGAGCTTGTGGAATGGCATGAAGGCTACTCCCCAATTGCTTCATAGATTGTCATTAAATTAAAATTAAATTAAATCCCCCCCCCCCCCCCCCCCCCCCCACCCCCCATCCAAAAAAAAAGATGGAGGGGGCAGTAAGGAAATATGGGAGCATTGCTTAAATAGCCTACTCTTCCCAAACGCCAAGTGAGATTGTTGCCATGTGTTTGAGAACAGAGGACAAGGTCAAACAGGAAAAAATTGTGGTTTTGATTAAAAGCCTCCTCCTCCAAAATTGTTTCATAGGTTGTAATTATTTGGTCAGGAAAATCAATGGTGCAAGGTGTATTTTCTCTAATAAATGGAGATGATGCACCGCCGGGGGACAGAAGGGCAGGGCCCAATGGGATGATGTAAAAATGATTGAGAATTCCACTATAACACCATATGTACACATCTTGGACATTGTAACACAAATACATCCGATTTCACCAATCTATAAAATCTGTCTGAGGATAAAAGCGAAAATGGCTTAAGTAGATGAGGTGTCTATATATACATCATGTGTACTAAGAAATGAGGATTAAGGGAAGCTGTACTTTTTATAGACAAATTGCTGGTAGCCTTAAAATAGGTGGTTTTGAAAATCGTGTTTTGTACTGTATTTTGATGTAAACAAGTTGTTATTACAACTGTAATTAATATAATTTAATAAACAATGTTTGTCCTTACTAAAATGTGTGTATAAAAAAATACCTTATGAACACCAAAACACATTCTTCATCTGGGTAGATTTTGAAAGGGCATTGGTCATAGTTAAAGGGACAAAGGTCATGCTTGTGTACAAGATGGCTGAGGACCCTTTAAGTGTACATTTAGTAGATCGCCATGGTAACTGAGGACTGTTTCGTTACAGCTGGTCCAGTGGTCAGGCCGTATCAAGATGAAGAAGTCAGGGACGCGTCCACATGGCCATGCCATCGAGTGTCTCGTGTGTATCTGTCGCCCGATGCAGTCCACCTCTATCATGGAGATTCGTATGGATGGCAGCATGTTCATGAGCAGACATGACCTTGGAATGCGCTTCACATTCTGTGATACCAGGTAATGTCTGGGTATGAAATAAAGACTAGGTAATATCTGGGTATGAAATAAAGACTAGGTAATATCTGTTCATGAAATAAAGACCAGGTAATATCTGTACATGAAATAAAGACCAGGTAATATTTGTACATGAAATAAAAACCAGCCATTTTTCTGCCTGTATGTCCCTGTCGGTATCAATCTTTGTCTTCCCTGCTGTTTGTCTGTCTGCCTGTGTTACACTTTGTCAGTCCAAACTGCTGTATGTACAGACTGTGTTGTAGTTATGAACTAAATCCTTTGGGGTTTAATGCTGTTTAAACTTGATGATTATTTTTCTTTCCTAGCTCATAGCTCAATTAAATAATCCAAGATAAAATTCATAGATTCTGATTGGCTGACCCATCATGAGCTATAAATCAAATTCTATTGGGTCAATTAATTCAAACCATCCAGGTTTATTTCATAACCCTAAGCAAAATTGATACTTTTTCAAAGAATTAAATAATTCCAATAAATGCTCAGTTTGTTTTGACCACAAACAGTGATTGAAAAATTGATTTTGCAAACTTTCGTAAATGTCCGTTCCCTTTGTCATGGAAAGAGTACAAATGGCTGATGTCTCAACTTGAAACCACTGAAAAAGTCCCAAGACTGCAGCTAATGACTAAAATTCATTGTCATTTGGCATAAATGTTAGATCAGTGTTGCTTGGTAAGCTATTGCAGATAAAAAGTTTATGAAAACCTCTCTCTGCATTTTGATTAGCTATTTCTAATTTTGGGAGACTTGCATAAGCATCCCCGTGACAATTAAGGTAGGGTAGCAATATCAGCATTCTAGTGTTGACTTTCTAACAACTGTGGTACTTGATCATAGTGTTATGTCATCTATACGGGGAAGTGTGTTAAACTGATCCGACTGTCAAACTCAGGATATCCCTCTGTCTATTGTCCTGGCCTGGACACAGTAGATTAGGGTTTCTTTAATGTTTCGTGTCGCTGGGTATCTCAGCTTCCCAGAACGTTGTGATCTAGCATTAAGTTTGATGTTCAGTGGTATAATATTGCACTGCAACGATAATTTATTTTGAGGAATTTTTGTTTTTTTGAAAAATTGTCGATTTTATAATTCAGAAATTTGGATGTTCTTTCTGAGAGTACGAGGCTGTTCATTACAATTGTGTAGTCCCTCAGTGCATGGTGTTCCATCTGAGATGCGATGTAATGTGATACTGTATAAGCGTTGCCCACCCCGACTATCAGTATCAAATGATGTCTCCACTAGCAGCTCCAGAAAGGCTTGCCTTCTATCCTAGATGGTATCAGCTGCCATGTGGACAACCGATACCACACTCTCTATATCCCTGACCTACATCCCATAGAACTTAGTTATACTCCCGGAATATTAATTAATAATGATTCTGCACAATTATTAGCATAAAAGTTTGTCAACTTTAAAAAATTATCAACTGTTTTATAAATGTATTTATAATTTAGATAGATGGGACATCTCCTAAATGTGACCCGAGTTGTTTTCATCCCCTCCAACGTTCACCATCATTTCATAAAGTAGAATATGATACTGATGAGTGTAGGGTGCAACTTTAATGACGAAGGCGGGACAAATATGTCTGTAAGGAGAATGATAATGTACACCCGACAGTAACTTCTGTCTGTAACTCCCTCCCAAGTCATGTACCTCATCAGCAGTTTTTACCCTGGTGTCTCCCCTACTTTGTATCACAATTGTAGGTACGCCTGAAATGTCTGTTACTGTTAAACCACATGTTATCTGTTTTCATTGTATTGTACATTGAAGATTAAAGGGACATTAAGGCAAAGTATATAAAAGTGGCCAATATTTTAAATATATACATTTATTATTTTTCTACAAGACATATATCTGAAGGTATCTGTTTGATAAAAGTGTATATCTTCACAGCAGAGAAGATAGAATATAGATTGTTATTTATTATAGACTAATCAGAATCGTACTTTCTATCTACTGCATTGATTTATTATATTTTTTCACCGGTGATGTATCTGAAGTTATCAGTTTGATAAAAGGGTATTCCTTCACACCAGAGAAGATATGATATAGATTGTAATTTATAAGTTCACGTTTTATTATAGACTAATCAGAATGCTACTTTCTATTCACTGCATTCAAAGTCACAGATTGTCAGTTCAGCTAAAGATAAAGCATAGGATTCCACTTGTTAACCACACAATGATCGAAGGTTTGCTAATTGCAGCTGAAATGGCATACCACTGTCCTTTGCCACTACTCCCAAAGGACTGCATCAATTTAAATGATACTTTGTTACAGATAACATATACATTGAGAGAATGTGAATTAAGTATTTAGATTGGGGTTATCTCCCAATTTAATGGAGTTATGTCCCTTTGTTTAAAAATAGTGTTTCCACTCCTCCCAGAGTACTGCAACAATTTAAAAGTTACGGTTTTCACATAACACTTGCATTGCGGGAATCTGAATAAAGGTATTTAGATTGCAGTTACCTCCCCATTTAATGGAGTTATGCCCCTTTCTTTTAAAACATTGTTCCCACTACTCCAAATGTACTGCACCAATTTGAATGATACATGGTACCTATAACACTTGCGTCAAAGTGGATATAAATAAGTATATAAACTAGAGATACCATCCTTATTTGCCATTCTGCTTAAAAAATAAATCTCAAAAGAACTTTTCCCACTGTTCTTGGCACAGGTGTGGGGGTACTAGTCTGCCATTTTAGCGACAGTTCAGGTTAAATGGGGCCTGGCCACTCTGATGTCAACAACAAACATCTACAGTGAAACATACACAAGGGACCACCTTCATTGAGAGACCACTTTTAATGTCCTCATTTATAGCGCAACTGGTCAGAAGGACTCGTGAACTTATGTATTGGCACAGGGTCCATCGTCCCCCTGTCAATGATCCGTTAGTTGTCGACTTTTCATTTAAAAGACTGCTTGTCCAGAAAGAACAACTAGTTATATTTTGACTCAATTTGGTCTTGAGCAAAGGGGGCTATACACAGAGGGTATGGTTTCCCTGGGGCAGATAGGCAGGGCTATTTTTGTGGAATATAGTGAAATTAGACCATCCTTGGGCTAAGGGGAGCATTGTTCAGTGGGATCGGATCCCCACCCTATAACAAAATATATACAGTTGTTTGGCATGAAAAGATGAGGACAATCATGCTACAAGGATTGGCTATGGGATCTAGCCCCATCCTTTGGGACCATATACAAAATTGCTGGGCATGAAGAATACAATTATGTCCGTGATGTCTTTCCTACCCAAAGGGGTGCCATGGCCCAACTGCACTGCAATTATATCCAAAATGAAATTAAGGGGAGGTAACTGTATAAATACAGAAAATATTATATATATAAAAAGGTACAGTGCAGAGGGACAGGGATCCTTAAGAGACGATTTTTGGACTTCCAAAGGATGGTGTCTTACAACAGGATTGATAGCACAATATTAGGAATACAACACATCTGCATGATCTAATCCTTACGACCAGGGCTGGTATATTGTCTTGCAATAGTTATCACAATAAGATCTGCCTTACCCGGGATGCATATCTTTATATTTAATTGTTGTTCTAATAGATCTTTTGTGTAAGGAAGTCCATTGAGAACCAAAGATAAGTGTATTATTTATACAAAATGTAATTTGTCAGCGAGTGACTTATCTGTTTATAGTACATAGATGTGCCCGTCTGATTGACGGATAGTATACTGTTGTTCCCGACTGTTTGTGACCGATACCTAAACGGTTTCCATGACGATAGATGACAGAGACATGTTCCTTTCTTCATTTTAATGATCAGTTGTAATACCAGAGGAGCTATAAATATGATCCCACTCTTCCTCTTGTTTCAGTCCTATCGTATACAAAGGTGAGACTACTTGACTTAAATCAGTACATCTGTAGCTTACATTGACTCAGGTGTACATAAAGAGTCTGTCGTGATGGAGACTTGTATAACAGAAAATCGAAAAATAAGACATTAGTGTTATCTGCCCTTGCCATCAGAAATAAAGGGAGTATTGTTTAAGGGTTTAAAGTACACACAGTCACATTCTTGTCCACTCCCCCAGAAAGGAAGATCGGTTATACGTGTAAAAGTGTCATTTTCTGTCTCTTAAACCTTGGCCGATTTATACTTCTTACCATATATCTTCTGTTGAATGCTTTGGTAAAAAAAAATAAAAAAATGCTTCTTTTATTTTGATTTGAAATTATTTGCTAACTTTGACCTTTAGGTAATGTTGACTTTTTTCAACAGAATTAGAGGAATGCATGATAAGTGGGACAAGGTTATTCAAGTGGGACTAGGAGAGTCAGTAGGAAATGGGTTTTCTATAGACTGGTCACTGTTGGCCAGTTAGGATAGAGGTGTGTTATAGGTCCCTCAGTGGTCAGTCTTGGTCAGTGGATCAAATGAGGTGTGCTGCCTTAGGACTGGTCACTCTGGGTCAGTTTGGAATAAGGTTTGTCATGGGCCCTTAAATGGTCAATCTGATTCAGTAAAGAGTAAGGTATTATTGGCTGCTCGGTGGTCAGTTTGGAGTCACTATAGAGCAAGGGGTCGTGGGTTGATTCCCCCCAGTGGTAAGTCTGAGTCAATACAAATTGTGGTGCCATGGGCTCATGAGTGGTCACTTTCCTTGGACCCACCACGGTCATTTTCCTTGGACCCTCTGCGGTCATTTGGGTCACTACAGAGTATGGTGTCATTGGCCATCAGCAGTCATTTGGGTCACTACAGAGTATGTGTCATTGGACCCTCCGCGGTCATTTGGAGTCACTACAGAGTATGGTGTCATGGGCCCTCCAGGGTCATTTGGAGTCACTACAGAGTAAGGTGTCATGGGGCCCTCTGCATTCAATCTTCCCCAATCGGGAGTTGAGTGTTTCATAGACACGACAGCGGTCACTCTGGGATAGTGGAATGCTAGGTGTACCATTGGGCAGATTTTATTTACTTTTGATCTGTAGGGAGAAAGTATGCCATTGGTCCGTTAGGTGGTCACTATGGGTCATTGGAGTGTTAGGTATGCCATTGGTACCTCAGTAGTCAATATGGGTCAGTTGGGAATAAAGTTTGCAATTGGTCCCTTTAAGTGCCAGGTGTGCTATGGACCCTTCAATTATCAGTCTAGGTCAGTAGAATGTTATAAGTGCCTCGGGCCCCTTGGCGGTCACTCTAGCTCATCAGCTACTGTAGGTCAGAAGGCAGTGACAGTGTATCATGCATATTTATAGTACACAAATGAGGATGCTAATCTGCGATAGTGTCACATTAGCCATAACCACCTCTGATAAGATCCTCCTCATGTTTGAAAATTTACATGACAATGTGTTTAGTAACTTCATCCCTTGATTCAGGCCCTGTGTGACAGGGAGATGTGGGTATATCCCGTCACACACACCCTCAGACTCCTCAGTCTAGCCCCTAGTCGCGGTGGAGGACTCCACTTGTGCCTGTGTGTATGTGTGGTGTGTGTGTGTGTATATGACAGCTGCCCTCCACGTTTTGTTGTACTGGTGTCTTAATTACATCCAGGTGTGCCGCCATCAGCTGATTGACTCCTCCACCTCACCTGTCTGACCATTCAATTAACTGTCTAACTTGTGTCCATCTCGTTATCAGAATCATCCCACTGATCGGCTACGAACCCAGTGAGGTAGTCGGACGGACAGCGTACCAATTCCACAATCCCTTGGACGCGGAAACTGTCGGAAAGTGCCATTCAAATCGTAAGTTTTCACTGTCACAGCATTTCTAGATGTCTTGTATATATGTCTGATTTACTGTACGTGTATAACCAGTGGGTTGGTCACTTGGACATTAACTCCACAAAGGCCAGTATACGTTATGTCCTTCACAGGACAATATTAATTTAAGTTTAGGTACTACGTAGAAGGGAGATTGTGTAAATGTAAAACAAAGATGACATTCATTCATGAATAATGATATTAATGCATTATAAGCTTATAGCCGTGTGAATCGCATGCACAGTTTCACCTTGACAGACTGGGGGTTTTCACTTGGGTTAATTAGACACATATCAGCGTTGGTTTAATGAAGCTTTTCTGATTATACAATACAATATTTTGGATATATAACACTAGAAATGAAAGATTTCATGTAATTTCGCTAATTTAGCAGAATTCTTTTACTGGTCTTTCAAGTGATTAGTGGGAGTTTCACTGTCTAAATGTCAAACAGTCTGACAGTATGTCACACCTACAAGTGTGGTAACCCCCAGGTACGATATAAAGATATAGCGGAAATCTACAGTACTACAAACACTACACTAGTTCATCAAGGAAAAACAATACCTAGTTTATCACACAACGATTAATGAGTAACTGTCATATTCAGACTTTCTCGTCTCCTGCAGTGTGTGTGACTCACTTAAATGAAAGTCATTTCGCTAAAGAGTGCCGTCAGTTAGACTTGCTCATGTCCTTACTTTGTCATTTCTGTCTTCACATTCAAAGCAAAATAAAAATTGATATAAGCAAGTGGCTAAGATTAAAGGCATTTAATGAACGTGGCATTTTATAAATGAGTTGGTGATCTCTGAGGGACAGTTAAGGGGTTTTAATACAATTTTACCTCAGTCAATTGTGTGCCGTCATTTTACACTGTAGACTTGTCTGATCAGTACTTTGTGTTACGACCACTAGCCGTTGAAGCCCTCGGGTGATAATTCACTGGCGTTAATTTATCTACGCCAGACAGGTATTACTTGTGTGACTGCTAATCTGTTTATTTCATCACGCAACTCCTGTCGGTATTTTTGTTAATCTTGAAAGAAATTTTGAAAATAAGAATTGATGCCGTCGGATTAAACAACCTTTTTCGAGCTGAACTCTTAGGAAAACAAAATAGCAACATAATTTTGAAAAATCTAACTCACTGAAAAAACTCTTTTTATTCTGAACTTCCTTACAGGTGCCTCAGTTTTTTCTTCAGTCCAAGTATTATTCATGTTACCATATTTGTGAAATCTTATACAGTCTGTATGGTCCTTAGTTCTCTGTAATATTGGTTTTAAAGTTGTATAAAGTAAGCAATAAAGTTAGTAATAACTTCAGCAAGTCCACAGGAATCACCTGTATTTGATCAAAGATTTAATCTAATTAGAAGGTTAGTGTTTATTTATACTACAGAAAGATGAAAGTATACTTAGTTACAAAATCCCTCTTGAATCCTTTGGTTGATAAGTGTGCTATAATACAGTGGGCTTCTTCCTGTGTAGGGCTTATGATTTTTTTATTAGACAAAAAACACTTAAAATATTTAATAAGCTCATGTTATAATTCATATTTTCTCTGGGCCAGACATGCATTGATAATCTTGACAGATGTCACACTGTACATAAAGGTTGATAGACACAAAACTGGTATGTTCTGATTTTGAACAACAGTTAAGTTCTCAATACATAGACTTAGTTGGTAAGATTTGTTTAAAAAAAATAAAATCAAACATTTCAACATTTCTAAAATGTTGACATTAAACCTGTCTAATCTGATCCCTAAGTTTTTAGATCCCCAGGGGCTAGGGCGGGGCCCCAAAGGGAACGAACATTTACCAATATTTTCAAATTCTTATCCTTTGATGACATGATAAGTATTGTATTTCACTTAGTTTACGTGCTGATTTCCACATCACATCTAAACAATAAAATAAAGCTACCAGTACCTATGATATAACTCAGGTGACAGCTAAGGCCCTTGGGCCTCTTGTCTAGCATCCTGTCTTGTCCAACATAATGTTCTAACTAAATTTCTAATGAAATTACAAGATAAGACCTCTGTATTCTGACATCTTGTGAACTCTAACCAACATGTTGTGTCACACAAGGCGTCGGATTAGATCAGCTAGCTATACTGTACATAACAAAATTGTAAAGAACAAAATGTCAGCTTTGGAATTTATTGTTAAATCTTGTAGAACAAGACTTTCGATTTCATTTCATAGTCTTAAAACGCCATCAATCAGTGTTAATATTGCCAAGTTGTCTGTTTCCTGGTTAGGAAGCTTATATTGAAGCCTGTTGCTGGTGGTTTTGTGGTCGAGTTGTCAGTATTTAATTACTAAACCATTACTATATACTAGAACACATCTGTCACAATTGTATAACAGGGATGTCTCCTCTAGATTTGAAATAAATTTCGGTAGCTTCCATCATATAATACAATTAATAACTATACACAATTACCGCATTTGGTATGAACTCGAAGGGTGCTTAGAAAATTGAGGGGAAAAGTGGTGAGATTACTAATGAGAATGGTATATAAATAAGTTTATGTACAGTCCTAATGTTGACTGATATATTATCTATGATTTTCTTGTTTTTCTCCTTGTTTTGTGTACCTTCCAAATTTGTCATCAATTTTTGTGTACCTTTCAAGTTTGTCATCAATTCTTATGTGCCTTTCCAATTTGTCATCAATTTTTGTGTACCTTTCAATTTTGTCATCAAATCTTGCGTTCCTTTCAAAAATATCATCAAATCCTGTGTATACCTTTTATATGTTTCAACCATCCAAATTAGTCATCAATTAATTAACTATTGTAGGTCCAATTTTATTCAATAAGATATATTTTACGTTTTTCACAAGGAGGAACTCTTTTTACAGGAGATGCTTGTTACAGTAAGGTTGTATGTATCTTTAAGTGACTACATAGACTGTTTTTGTGTTGTTGACAGTGATTGTAAAAGGGACATCGGTGAGCAAGTACTACCGCTTCCTGGGCAAGAATTGTGATTGGGTGTGGATGCAAACCAGAGCTACCATTATCTACAACACGAAAAATGTACCACAGTACATTGTCTGTATGAATTACATTATCAGGTGGGTCATATTATCATCCTAGTGTTTCAACTTTAGTGAGCACCCTAAAGTCTATCATTGAAACTGTCAGGCTATCCCAGTATCCCAGTCAACACTCACAAGTCTATATCATTAACACTCAGACTATCCCAGTATCCCAGTCAACACTCACAAGTCTATATCATTAACACTCAGACTATCCCAGTATCCCAGTCAACACTCACAAGTCTATATCATTAACACTCAGACTATCCCAGTATCCCAGTCAACACTCACAAGTCTATATCATTAACACTCAGACTATCCCAGTATCCCAGTCAACACTCACAAGTCTATATCATTAACACTCAGACTATCCCAGTATCCCAGTCAACACTCACAAGTCTATATCATTAACACTCAGACTATCCCAGTATCCCAGTCAACACTCACAAGTCTATATCATTAACACTCAGACTATCCCAGTATCCCAGTCAACACTCACAAGTCTATATCATTAACACTCAGACTATCCCAGTATCCCAGTCAACACTCACAAGTCTATATCATTAACACTCAGACTATCCCAGTATCCCAGTCAACACTCACAAGTCTATATCATTAACACTCAGACTATCCCAGTATCCCAGTCAACACTCACAAGTCTATATCATTAACACTCAGACTATCCCAGTATCCCAGTCAACACTCACAAGTCTATATCATTAACACTCAGACTATCCCAGTATCCCAGTCAACACTCACAAGTCTATATCATTAACACTCAGACTATCCCAGTATCCCAGTCAACACTCACAAGTCTATATCATTAACACTCAGACTATCCCAGTATCCCAGTCAACACTCACAAGTCTATATCATTAACACTTAGACTATCCCAGTATCCCAGTCAACACTCAAAAGTCTATATCATTAACACTCAGACTATCCCAGTATCCCAGTCAACGCTCAAAAGTCTATATCATTAAAACTCAGACTATCCCAGTATTCCAGTCAACACTCACCAGTCTATATCATTAACCCCCCCCCTACCCCAGTATCCCAGTCAACACTCACAAGTCTATATCATTAACACTCAATTATATCCCAGTATGTGTAAGTTTTAGAATTTGTCCATAGTATTGGAAATTGGGTGTATTAGTAACATCTTGATACACATTATGTTTGTTATCACCGAGATCTGTCCTTTAACAGGTTTAGGTTTTGAAAATAGGGTCATTATAAAGGACAATGACATAGAGATATATTTTCTGTAGACATTTTTGATGGACATATTTATGTGGAAGTCCCTCTGTGTCTACAAACATATGATCCCTGGTACCTGGTGATCATGTTCATCATCACAGATAATCAACATCACTCAGTGTATATACAAAATAATTGTGTTTACAAGCGTAGCCGTGTCAGATCATCATCAGCTGTTCTTACATTGAAATGTAAATTTTGCCTCGGTAACTTTCTGTCAAGTATTTTTAACTTATCATGTATATATCCTATATGGTGTGTAAAGTGCACATCATGGTTATATTATTGTAAGTGTCCCCCCCCCCCCCCCCCGCTGGTTAATTACCTTCACATTTTGATTTTTAAGGCCTAAAGTTAATAAATAAATTGATTTACCAGTACATGACTGTCCGGAGTTAATGTAGGTTACTTAATTGTCGGGAGAATGTCACACACAGCTATAGTCTGCATTATTTTGACGATTTATCGACTTTTTTCATATCGGTCTGCCGTCGATTTTCGTCAGAACTCCGGCCCTCTATAATATGCGGGAAATATGCGACCCGCGCCCGGAGCGCACTTCAAACTGATATTTTAGAAACAAATCGTCACTTTCACACACATGGATCGAAAAGATCTATTCCTTATGCACAAGATGAACATACATAACATGCCTCGAACAACCAATACAATCACTAAAAACATATTTTTTCAAACTTACTCTGTTTTACTCTAGTTTTTTGATAGTCCCGCCTTCTAATGCCACGTAACTTAAATCTCGCCAGCCTACGTCATAACGTTGGGAAATACCTTCGGTAACGCAAGATCTCGTCAAGTCAAGTGACATTGCTCATGGCCTAATTTCCATTAAAAACATGGGTTGGTATAGAAAACGTTGAAAAACACTTTTCGTAATGATCTTTGAAACATGTTCTTGATACCACCTAGTGCGTAAAGAACAGATCTTTTGATCCATGTGGGACATGTGTGTGAAAGTGATGATTTGTTTCTAAAATATCAGTTTGAAGTGCGCTCCGGGCGCGGGGCGCATATTTCCCGCATATTATAGAGGGCCGGAGTTCTGACGTTAATTGACGGCAGACCAATATGAAAAAAGTCGATAAAACATCAGAATAATTCGGACTTACACAGCTATTACCCCGATACGATTGTTTACCTGGTGACATTTTGTTAGCAGCATATTGTTCGCGAACACATTACAGCTAGGTTTCAAAACCTGATCAAGTTAATTAAAATTTATGATCAAATCAGTTTTTAAAATGTTTTATTCGATTAGCAAAAATGGTTGCAATAGGGATTTAAAATCATCATCTGGAATAAAAAAAACATATTTAAAAACCAACAAATATCATTTTGAAAATTTGCAAAGCTTTTAAATCAAACCCTCTTTCCAAGTGTAATTTTTATGACAGTTGTTTTTTGTCTTCACACTAGTGAAGAGTACCTAAATATTTAAATTCAAATATTAATTTAAATAGGTATTTGTTTGAAAACATATATGCCTCACATAAAATTTGTTTAGAGTCGTTAGCAGATATAGGATGAAGGTTATTTACATCCCTGCTCACAGAAGTATTATATTATTGTGCATCCTATAAGCCAGCAAATGATTGATTATGAATTAATTGAAAATGGCCTGAACTTCATGTGTTTAGCAGCAAAAGATGTCAGATGTGGTAGGTTGGTGGAATCATGTGTTTAATTAAAACCAATGATAACACAATTTTCACAAAACTTACGGTTATAAAGTTATAGTTTTGTTGCTATTCTTATCAGCATCAATACTGATTAGGACAATAATTTAAATCTTGAAAATTTCTGTTATAGCAATTGGTCAGTTTGGATGAAATAGAACACCACTAATGTTTTTGTTTTTGATTTTGTTTGTGACAGTGAAGAGGAGAGTCAGCGTTACATTATGATGGACGAAGAAGAGGCCGGGAAGCACATCGTCTGTGCTCCTGGGGTGATGGACCTGTCAGAGAGCACCATGTGTGGGGACTCTACCCAGGGGGAGCACAGTGACCCGGGCTACATGAGCGGCAACAGCCCCTATTCTAGCATGAATCCAAGTCCCTCGGACGGTCACCCCAGTGACGATAACAATGATACTCTGACAGACGCAGACAGCGACTTTCCACCGGGTGTATTTCAGGAAGTTGCCAACACCATTAACCCAAGCCATGAATCTATATTTGACATCATCAGTAGCCTGGGGAAGGAAACTGGTCAGCCATGTGACAAGACATCGGATCACTCCCCTCTGTCTGAGGCTGGAGGCTGGATGGATCCACAAGGCGACATGGCCGCTATGTGTCCACCTCCTTCTGACACCAACAGGTACATTCCGCTGACTTCTATGGCGGTGATGTCTCCTCCAGATCAACCTACAAGAACGTTCCAGACGCTGCTCTCTAGCAATGCCAACAACACAAACATGACAACAACCTTACTGCAGACGCAGATGTACAGTCCACAGGGAAACTTCACCTCTGTTGGCAGGGGTCTCCATGGTAACTGTGATATGATGTCTCCACAGTCCGTAGAGTCCTACAGTTCCAGTCTCTCTCCAGTGAACTCCACCTCCCATCTTTTATCATTGGATGATCATAATGGTAATAGTAGGTCGTCCAGCGTCTGTTCAGGACTTGTATCCTCACCCAGCATGCCGTCTGACGATGATATCACTATGCTGTCACCTGCTGTCACATCAGCTCCTCAACTTCACAACCTGCAATCTGTTGCTGCGACCTCTTCTTCTCCTCATAGAAATCTTCTAGACCTACAATCTGTTTCTGTCACTTCCTCTTCGCATAGAAACCTCATAAGCCTACAGTCTATTCCAGCATCATGTTCTCAAAAGAGCATCTTAAATCTTCAGTCTGTTCCGTCTTCTCCGTCAGTTATGAACCAGCCAACCACTTCACCACAGAATATCTTAAATCAGCCGGCCAATTCACCACAGAATATCTTAAACCAGCCGGCTACTTCCCCACAGAATATCCTCAATGTACAAACCATTCCCTCCACTGGTGTGGCCCCTCAACAAAGCATGATCAATATGCAGGCAGCATCTCCACAGAGTATGTTGACCAGCCTACAACAGCAAGTCCCTGCTAGATCCTCACATGCTCAGAGCCTGCTAAATTTACATCCTGTCACATCGGCCCAACTTCTCGACCTCCAGCCCAGCATTGCTGTGACAACTGCTGCTTCGCCACTAAGTGCTCAGAATCAGCCAGTCACCCCAAACTGTTCCCAGGATATGATGAACCTACAGTTGGGTATGTCTGGAGACAACAATGGTAGTGACATGTCAGTATCAGGGACAGGGGACACTCTGCCACCGGAGGTATCAGAAATGTGGCTCCAGTTCTGTAACACAATGACCGACAACCAAGTCCAGCAAGTTCTGGATGAATTCCGTCGTGAGGAACTTCTGTCATCAATAGAAGAACATCGAATCCGACAACAGGCTACAGTGGCTCCAGTGCAAGCCACAACAAATATGAATTGTATGCCAAATTCTTATACCAACCAAAGCATCAACTACCAGGGATGTCAAAAGTTTTCAACTGTTGGGCCAACATTTGATCAGGGCTGTAATCGCTGTTGTGCCATGCAGAACGGATCTGAACATTACCCTAGCACTACCGTACCGAGTACTTACTCCGTACCAATGTCCCACCTCCAGGCCAGTAGACTTACACCTAGCAGTGCTATATCTTGTGTGAACTGTTCCACTTCTCAAAATGGACAATTTCCGTGTGTGCGGCACAAAAACGGTTCAGCCTACAGTCACTCCCAAATTGGAAGTGATGGGAAATCGGCTACCATGTCAGAACTAGAAAAAATGTTGCGTGGTTACTCCAGTACCTCACAGCAATGTGTTGGTGCTTTCTGCGAGTCGCAATCTGTTAACTCGTGTGACTTTGACAATGGTGGCTCTACCCTACTCAAACAGATGTTGACCGGTCATCTGTCTAGTGAGTGTTATCATGCGATGGAGAAACGTCGACAAGCTACCACTAACGTATCCAACCAGTGACATTCCTGGACTGGAGTGACCACTCGGACATGAGTGACCACTTGGATGTCCAACATTTGTAACAATGCCTTACAGGACGATTGGATACAGGACATAAGTAACTGTTCTGACAAGAGTGATGGTTTGGGCATCTGACTTCATTGGCAATAACTTACATGGGGGATTGATACAGGATAAGGTAGTGAGCGATCATTCCGACGTATCCATGACAACATCTGACACAAATATTCACTGCAGCAACATTGAGTACATATAGACGATGAACCTAGGGACTACAACATTCACTAGTGACCCAGTGTTCTCACATCGTGACCAGTGGCTTCACAGCTTGTGTACAGAGTTGTCACCCTTGATTCACAATCCTCCGCGTTACCTGTTAAAACCTGACACTGAAGTGTCGCTGATATACTATAAGCAGTATACAGTCAACAGCAGAAATACTGACTTGTGTGACGATCAATGATCGACAGAATTACTAGACTATGTAATGAATTAACAGGAAACCCTGTTCTTAGCAATATTGTATACTGTTACCATGGTTACGGACACCGAAACCAAGGCTTCAGAGCATTACAAGTCTAAAGAGTTCAACAGACTCAAATAACTTTGTCATAGACAAACTGTTGATGTTGTGTATTTATAAAAAAAAATAGTTATATGATCGTATATTGATTCATCATAGGATATTTTCTTTGCAATTATTTAATATTTGTTTTTGTCTTGAAAAATGTACAAGTTTTCCACAATTGGTAATTGTTATATGTAATTTGTAATCCACTCTTGGTCCTAGGTTGTGAATCTGTTACCGTGACAGTAATAACAGTATGAATGTATGGGAATAAGCCAATCTTTTTCATAGTAACAGGATGTTAAGCATGTTTGCTGATGATAAAAGTTGCTCAGGACATTACTTTCCTTATTTAAGAAGGAAAGAAATACTGGTGTTTTTTTTTTTTTTTAAATACACAAAGGAAATTCACTAATATCTATTTTACCCCAATTCGATTGACCAGGTCCTTCTAAACTTTTTATATTAACATCGGTAGATAGAGTTACCATACAAGTCTTTGTGAGAACATTTTTGTGTTGAATACAAAGTGTTTGATGAAGCTGTTTTGTACATAAGCATGTGACAAGTCTGTGTCATAGTTTTATCGTCTCACAAGATCTGGATAGGAGCTTCCGCGTCCATTCACCTCGTAAGTACCGACAGGTACTAAATAGGCTAAAATTTCTCCAAATTTCTTTTTTTCCAAAACATATGAATTTAATTACATAGCTTCAATCTAATCTTTCAATTGATTTTTCTAATAGAAAAAATATGAAATGATCATTTCAAAATTAAGAACCATATTCAAATCTATGAAGGTGAAAGATGTGACTATTTGATTTTGAGGGAAATGAATTTTCGGAGGAATCATTTTTTTTTTTATCTTTACAGAGTATATACAACAGTTGTATGTAAGGTGATACTTAAGAAGAAGTCCCATGCCCTCGTGCCACGCTGCTGTGTGGTTTATAGTCTCAGTGAAATTTGCAGTTTCAGTTGAAAGGAAACACATATGTCTCGGAAAATCTGGCAGAAATGACAGAATCTTGTCAGTTCTAAACAATATTTTTTGTCTCGTTTCTATATTAAACAGTAGTGAGATTTTATATCATCTCTTTCATAACAAGTGTAGCCACTTCACATGTAAACAGATTTCAGAGAGAGCCGTGTACATATTATCCCTAATTGACCTGATGTTTAAATATTCTATTTTGATATTGTAAGCCTGAAGACAATTAAAACAAAACCCTAATTATCATTAATATTTCATATGTTCCATATTGCACCTGTACGCCTCGATGCCGAGTTCATGTTGACTGTTAATGAAAATTTTCATTTGATCTGTTTAACATATTTATATATAAAAAAAAACTTTCTTTAACTCATTCACCCTTTCCAACCTTTGAATTGGAAGAGTTCAAATGTGTCTTCAGGGGTGAATGAGTTAAAGCATGCATAAATTAGATCATTTTTTCCCCCCACAGCACTTTGGTTTTACCTGACCTACAGATGTAGTATGTAGACCTTCATTCTACACTACATATTGTTTTACCCTAAATACCAATACATCTACTGACCTTACTTTTACTCTTCATATTGTTGTTAATTTTCAGTTTGTTTTACCCTGCACACTGTCGTAAGGTGCTAAAGAGTACACCGATAGAGTTTTAAGTTCTACAGGAATGTTAAATTCTGTACAGCGTTATACTTCACTATCACATTCAAAATCACTCAATTCTGCACACTGCATACATCAACTTTTGAAAAATGTATCAAAAGATAATTAAGTGACCAAAAGAACCTGTTTATATGACATACAAAAAAGGCAGTTATAAACGCATAAAAGCTGAATAAAGTGGGCGCAACTAAAATTTAACATCAGATAAGTTATATATGGAGTATGATTTCAAGCTCATGATCGGCAAATTCCATTTATTTCTGATTTACACATAGAAGACATCGTTTTTGTACCTTTGTATACATAAATAACCTCCATCCATTCTTCTACATGTTCACCAGGTTATGCAAATATTGTGACATATATTTACACATTTAAGAAGCATTTTATTCCAGGTAAAATATTTAGAATTGTGTACTGCGTGATATGCCCTGTGGCCTATATTTTAATCCATAATTATCATTTAAAAATCTTTAACATGAATTTTTTTAATTGTTTTAATATCAAAGTGCAAAATTAAATTTGTCAATAAATGTATAAGGAAAGATTATAACTTCCATGATTTTAACTAGTGGGTCATTGTGTGTATGCATGAAATTTACATGTTTAGGATCTTTCTAATCTTTAAGTTTTGAGAATAAATAAATAGATAGATTTAAAATATGAATCTACTGTGAAGAATTTTCAAAAATTTAGCACAAAGTTATCAATAAGATCAAAGTTGATTGAAAACCTTTTTTTACAGAATTTAGCATTTATATTATATCATTACATGTTTTACTGTTAATTAGCTGTGATTTGACAAGATATACGCAATTTCTTTCTAATAGGTTTTCCACAATTAAGGTTTTACGTTACCTTACAACATACTTAAGATATATGTTAGAGTTATCTCCCTTTAAACGTTTCAGTTTGCTGTAACTGTAAGGATATTAGTTTATTCGTATTTTATTTTCTAAGGATATATACAATCTATAAGCATAACCATGAGTAGACTTAATCTTTCCTTGATCAGATTTGCTAAGGAAAATGTGTAAATTATTTGTGTTTTTATTGTTAGTGCTCAGTACATTAATTGATTATGTGGGAATATAAGAATACCACAAAAATAAGTATGTTTTCAGTATTATTATGTAAATATGAATAATGGCCAGAGAATTAATTCTTATGAATTGTTCAAATTTTCTTCCGGTTGATCAAGCCTTGTCAAAATCCTGTGTGAAACTCTTTTTGAAAGGAGATGCAGAAGACAGTAATGTAGCATACCTCCCTAAGTTGGCATTATTTCTCCTCTTCTTTTATTTTTCCCAATTAACTTAGATATGCCCAACTTGCTTTTTCCACTGTTTATTGAACAGTAAAAATTTGTGGAAATAGAAATTCACTTTCCAATAATGTTTGATAAGACAAAGTCTTGTACAATAGTCTGAGTGTTAAAAACACATGTTTTAACCCTAAGATATTAAAAAAAAAAACATTTTTTATTCCTTGCATTTTGCTTGTAAAACTATTGTAAAACAAAAGTGATTGTTTTGTGAGACACATTGTATTAGTTTATTTTGTTGAGGTGAAATGTTTGCAGAGACTAAGCTGTTGCAGTGATATATTGCGCTGTGTTTTGATTATTTAATAATAGACTTGAAATCAATTAGTGAAAGTTTAAACAGATTCCAAGGATTTATTTAGATTTATAATAATTTGAATGGAAGACAGTTTATTTTTGAACGAGGAGTAGTTAAACATAGGTGTGTTTACTCTGTATACATCAATACAGATTGTTTTGCTCATAAAATATATCACATACTTCGTACAGTTGAGTCCATAACCCAGCCACTTTTTCCTTTTCAACAGAAGTGACTGGATTGTGAGATTGCTTGATAAAATTGACAAGTTTAGCTTTTGGAGAAAAAGGCCAAAATATTCACTAAACCACTGAGAGAATTAGTGGTGTCTGGATTAACGAGACAGGGCCGTTTAATGTTGTGTACAGACGAATATTTAATGTCGCATTTTTTTGGGCAACTATCTTCATTTTAATTAACATTATGTAATTAATCATACATAGATGATATCAAAGTACATTGAATCTCTGTATGTCATGTTGTATTAATTTCCATGTATATTTGACAAATTACCATAAAGATTTGAATACCTTACTGTTTGATACCTGTAGCTGGTAAGGTATACAGGTAGGGTAAGGTAAGGCAGATAGGTATCCTTGATAACAATAGGTGATGAGATATTACTGCTGTAACCTGTCCTCATGAATATTCATTTTATAATTTTGTCACATTTATATATATTACGTCAAAGAGTTTTTTTGTGGGTTTTTTCTACACAAGTTCCTCACAGGTTGTATATATTTTATAGTAAAAAAATACAAATCAAGATGTTACAAGCAATCAACTGTGCTTTAAATGTTCAAGATATATTAAAAATGTAAAAATGTTTTGTCGCGTAGAAAAGTGAGTTTTAGTTTCCCGGTTCAATGTGCAACATGTCATACTTTTACCTGATGGAAGGACAGAGTTTCACTTATATTCCTATTCCTATATCTTAAAATGTTCTATTTTTCAGATTTTTTTTATTGTTTTTTTTACTCTGGAGATGTTTTGAGTGTATATTTATTCTTGCACATATCTGATGACTTTAAATTCATTTGCTATATAGATCACCCTTGTTATGCCGTCACTGTTAAGCATGGTATGAAAGGATTTGACAATATATTGCAGAAGTCTGAGAAAGGTATAGGTTAAGAAAAAAGCAATGCCGATCAGTAAGGCGGAAAATGAAATGAGGTAGGGCATGGATGCATTTTCATCAAGCTTTGCTATCGTAATGAAGGCGGAAATGAAATGAGGTAGGGCGTGGATGCATTTTCATCAAGCTTTGCTATCGTAATGAAGGCGGAAATGAATTCAATTTTTATTGGATTTTTAGTACGTGTAAAACTACAGTACTTTTGAGCATAATATCAGAATGCGGTGGGTTTGAATCCCAGGTGAAGTATATTTTGAATTCAGTTTTGATAATGAGAACAACATCACCAATTCAAATTTACTATAATATTAATCTAACAATGTTGATGCCTCATGTCCCATACGAGTCGAGGATTAAGTAAGTAATTAAGGTTAGATTTATTCTTAGAATTGTCATGGGGTTATAAAAGTTCATAAAGCATATGAAACCTACTTGCAATTCTTAATTATTTTACAAAATCAAGTGGACGAAAGAAAATGCCAGCACTGATTACCTGTGGTCAAGTTAGTATATAAACTATTAAAGACAACTAAATTAGTGTATTATCATTTCTGTGAAAGCTTACAAGTAGAATTTCAGTGGAGTGTTACCAGTTTGCACTCATATGGAATGTGGTGTCAGCTGAAATGACATTGTTATTGAATGGTTAAAGTTTTAAACATTAGAAATTACTGTTTTATTAAAGCATCCTGTTCGAAAATGTGATACCAAAAATTGAATCTTTTACTTGTCAAGAAATTTGATTTACATTTAATTGACCAGTCTGTTATAGGATTTCTCAACTGAATTTTTCAATGTTGAAATAAAAACCTTTTAGATTTGCAGAGAAATTTATGCATCAAACTGATTTTATTGGGCGATTTAAAAGTGATAGAAGAAAATACATTTAAGACGCTTGAAAATTACAATTTACATGTGTATTTGGAAGTGTGGTTGAAATATTTTTGTTCACAATCAATGAAATATTCTGGAGCAAACAGGAGGCTTATTTCCAAACAATGTGATATAAATGAAGAATAAAGATATTTTTATGCTGTTGTGATTTCTGCTTTATCATGTCGAGGGATTGTTGTAGCTCGTCATTAGTTTATGCGATCTGATCATGTGTTTTGTTTGACTAGTGTCTAATACACTGTTTACAAATATATATAAATATATATTGCATATGTAAAAATTTGGTGTTTGTTTTTGTTTACTTGGCTTGCATTACACTTGGTGTCCTGCTGGGTGTCTTCGGCAGTATGTTTCAGTGAGGTAGCACTATAAAGTCGGCATCAGTTCCACCCGATCACAAGGAGACAAACAGGAACATATCACAGCCTCCCAAAACACACACACTTACACTACATGCAAGCATCTTGCACACAGGGGAGGCACGTCATTAAATGACCATAGCTGTGAATAGGACGTTAAACAATACTAAACCAAACCAAACCAAACATTACACTTACCACAGTCCTAACATATAATAATTACAAGCAAGTTTGTGGAGTTTCAGGACATATTGTAGGTAAACATTATTGTGGTTATGTTTAAACATGTGAGTATCATGCTGTTGAGACATAATGTATAGCTTGAAACTTGAAGAAAAAAAAGCCTTATCTAATATTTGCTAGATTTATTAAGTGGTAGCTGCAGATAATGACTCAGCCAAATGGAGTTCCCTTAAAGTGGTTTTCAAACTTGGCCGAGCCCTTAATGTTTTGAACCCTGTTTCTAAGTTTGAAGACAATCGGATACTATTTGTGAGAGTTAATGAACAGAAACGCAAGATAATGACGTTTTTTATTCAAGGGGCCATAACTCAGCCAAATGGGGTCCGCTGAAAGTGGTCATCAAACTTAGCCGAGCCCTTAAGGCATTTAACCCTGTGATCAAAGTTTGAAGAAAATCGGTTAACATTTGTTGTAGTTATTGCACAAAAACGAAGTGCGGCAGATAATGACGTTTTTAGCCCACCATCATATGTCTGTCGTCCTTCCTTAAACAATTCTTGTTATCGGTATTTCTCCAGAAGTACCAGAGGGATCTTTCTCAAATTTTATATGTAGGTTCCCCTTGGTCCTTAGCTGTGCAGGGCAACTTTTGAGACTGATCGGATAAACAACATGGCCGACAGGCAGCCATCTTGGATTTTGATAGTGAAAGTTTTTTATCGCTATTTCTCGGGAAGTAAGGGAGGGATCTTTCTCAATTTTTTTTATGTAGGTTCCCCTTGATTCCTCGTTGTGCATGTTATATTTCGAGACTGATCATAAAAACAAAATGGATTAAAAGAAGAACTACACAGATCTTTCTCATATTGCAATGATCGATTCTATTTCTTTCACATTAAGTACTGTACTAGTAAATATGTGAAATGACAAACTCACTTTGAAGGTTGGCTTTCATACACAACAGTATTAAGTTTAGAGCAAAAGTTACCTCAAGGTGCATTTACTGTTAACATGACTCGATCAAACAGATTAAAGGAAAGAAGAGAAAAGATCGAACTGACAAAGAACTAATGAAGATGGTACAAAGGTGGGTGCCAAGATCCCTCTGGGATATCTTGTTTAGTATTCAAGCGCCATAACTCTGCCAAATGGGGTCCGCTGAAAGTGGTCATCGAACTTGGCCGAGCATTTAAGGTATTTAACCATGTGACTAAGTTTGAAGAAATCAGTTGACAGACAGACAGACAGACAGACACCCAAATTAATATCCCCCGTTCCGGTGAAAGCGGGGTGTTAACAATACGAGGTTCTTATTTACCGCTTCATCACAACCTAGATGGTAGGTGATGTCTCAAAGCGGTTCACAAATTAATATCTTTGGTTATAGGGCCTTTCCAACCGGGCAATATCTTTCTCAACTACCTAGGGAGCATACAGCCGGTGCTGCCATTTAGGCGCTCACAGCTAGCATTCAACAATTCTAGCACTGCCTAACCACATACTCATTTACAGCTAAGAAGTCTGGAACAAGTGGAGTAAATTATCTTGTTCAAAGTTACAACACAGAGCCATGACGTGACGCAAACCCATAGCCCATTGGTCACGAGCCTGGCGTCCTACCGGGCACTATAGACTATCGCGCTCCTACATATATCTCAAAAATAATTATTCAGCTCGTAGTCCTGTGGCTTTGACGGTTTACAAATTATACTGGTAATGCTGTTGAGCTTCCAAGTTTTTGGCTAACCAAATAACAGGTGAAGTTTCTCTCTAGTTAGGAAACATAAAATTAGGGTATTTTTCATACAAGATGATTTTTTTCTTTTTTAAATTGATTTATCATCCAAGATGGCTACCTTGGCTTCTGATAAGCAGTAATATTTTAAACTTTGGTCAAATTCCATTTACCTAGTTCTTCCCAATTTTTCACATCTTGGCATTTCTGTCAACTGCAGGAGCCTGGTTAAGGGGACATAATCTACAGGTTGGTCAGATGATGGTTTAAGGGAGGCAACTCTTCTAATCTTTAAATTGTCTCATGCATTCCTAATATGAAAAACAAAACAAATACCATTTATTTAGAAATAGAGATTGTGAGTTCAGCACCCACTGGTGGTTAACTTTAAGCGATGGTTAGTGAAAAATCAAAGGCTTTCAAAGTTTTAATCCTCTAATCACACTTGGCTAATCTGATTCAACACATCTGTAACAGTGAAAAGATATCAGATGTTCTTGATTTTGTTCTTTTCATATTTGAAATAATCTCTTACCACTGGTTAACTTTTAACAATATTTATCGTAGGAGGCAACTAATGCGGGAACCCCTGCCGAATTTGGGGGTTGCTTTGGTGTCCACTATTAGGGGACACAAAGGCGAGCATAATAAATCTGCTGCACCCATTGCAATATTTTGTGTAGGAGGCAATGGGTTTTGTCCCCAGGCCAGGACATACCAGTCTTTAAAAATGGTAGTGTTATTCCCTGCTTAACGTTCAGCATTAAGAGGAATGGCAACAACTGGTTCACCCGTTGTCAGTATAATGTGACCGGGCGGAATGCTGTGCTTGGTGCCTTCGGCATGGCATTTCAGTGAGATAGCACTATAATGTCGGCATCAGATCCGCGCTATCACAAGGAGGCAAGCACAACAACATACCCCGTCTCCTGCAAACACACACGCATGCATGCATTAATAGGACGTTAAACAAAATTCAACCAAACCAAACCAATTGAACTGGGGCCTTCTGCTGCAGATACATAAAACAACCTTGGCCAATAGCAGTGATCTCACACAGCAGGAGTCTGACACCCATGGGATGGAAGATGATATTGACGACACATTTTTAATGTGGAGAAATAAAATTCTCATTTGGTGTATCTCAGTACTTTTCACTGATTTATCAAGTCCACACCAAAGTATATATACCAGTAATAATAATGATTTGAGGTTGTTATATACCGCTTTATCACAACCTAGCTCATAGGTCGCCTCAAAGCGGTTCACAAATTATTATCCCTGGTTATAGGGCCTTTGCAACCAGCCAATATATTTCTCAACTCCCTAGGGAGCATACATCCGGTGCTGTCATTTCGGCACTCACAGCTAGCATTCAACAATTCTAGCACTGTCCCATCACATACTCATTTACAGCGGAGTAGACTGGAACAAGGTGAGTAAAGTATCTTGCTAAAAGATATAACATCGTGCCTTGCCGTAAACCCATAACCCTTCGGTCATGAGTCTGGTGTCCTACCACTAGACTACTGTGCCTCCCTAGTAGGGGCTCTATGTAGCAACATATAAATTATACGCTTCTTCTTTTTTTAATGCCGGCTCTGCTTTTGTTATGAAAAAATTACAACTACCTGTGCATATTTTTTACAATTGAGGTATTTGGATCATGCTTTTGACCTTGTTTCTCATATGTACCAAAAACAGCATCCTGTCAATCCGAAGGAAATGGTGTATTTGCTGGTTTGTTTGTTTTGTGTTTTACGTCTTATACACAGCTATGGTCATTTAAGTTTGCCAGGGTTTGATGGTCAGAACCCAGCCAGAGAAAAATCACCCATCTGCGCCCAGTACCTAGTAGGCCTCACATAGGCCTCCCTTAACCTCTCCAGTTATGTCCCTTTGGTGGCCAACTGATAACTTAATTATGTGTGGTGATATAATACATATGTTTTCATGTTGTTTGGTCTATCAAAACAAATCAAACAAGTTATCGTGGCAAACATGTAGTTTATATACAAACGTATAACATTTTATCAATTTACATTTATCATTGGACAATTATAAAATTAAGGGTGTATACACTTATAGATATACATGTATATATATATATATTTAAATAAAACATTAAAAGTTAACCAATAAATCTATACAATACTCCCATTAAACATAACCTCTGAAATACCTGCATTTGACCCCACCTCTTTAATATTCCAATTAAATAAACCCACTTAAACAGTTCCATTGAATCTTAACAATAATATATCCTACAATAATTATAACCCTTAAAAACATCTATCTAGTCCCACTTCTACAATACTCCCACTATATAAACCCTGTAAAATATTCCCATTAAATCTTTATCATAAATGTCCCCATTAAATATAACCCCTAAAATACTCAAATTAATCTTAACCTTACAATATCCCCAGCAAATACACCCGTTATAATAGTCCCATTGAATCTTAACAATAACATGTCCCCCGTTAATTATAACCTTGAAATACCTCCATTTTATCCCACCTCTAAGATATCACCACTAAATACCCCCTCTAAAATATTCCCATCAAACCTGACCTTCACAATATCCCCATTAAATTATAACCATTAAATATCCCCATTAAACATAACCCCTGAAACACCTCCATTTAAACCCACCTCTACAATACCCCCACTAAATAAACCCCGTTAAATATTCCTGTTGAATATTTACCATAAAATATCCTTATGTAATATAAACCCTGATATACCCAAAATAATCTTATCCATACAATATCCCCATTACGTAAACTGAACCTCTAAAATATCCCCATAACACCCAAACTACCTAACCGATTTGGTGTAACTTGGTTATCTCCCCTTACATCAAAATGCACACAAACTAAGTAAAGCTCTGTCGCAACACTTCAATAAGTTTGCCTTTCTCAGAAGATGAAGAAACCAAGTACAACAAACTCCTACACCCCAAAAAAACTACCAACCTACTTCAAACACTTACTATAGCAACCAACTAAAATTACCCACCTCAACATCCCATTACTGACTGTAACCAACCCATAGATATACCCACTATAGCAACCAACTATAAATACCAACTATTATAACCAACTAAAAATACCCACCTCAACATCCCATTACTGACTGTAACCAACCCATAGATATACCCACTATAGCAACCAACTATAAATACCAACTATTATAACCAACTAAAAATACCCACCTCAACATCCCATTACTGACTGTAACCAACCCATAGATATACCCACTATAGCAACCAACTATAAATACCAACTATTATAACCAACTAAAAATACCCACCTCAACATCCCATTACTGACTGTAACCAACCCATAGATATACCCACTATAGCAACCAACTATAAATACCAACTATTATAACCAACTATAAATACCCACCTCAACATCCCATTACTGACTGTAACCAACCCATAGATATACCCACTATAGCAACCAACTATAAATACCAACTATTATAACCCACTATAAATACCCACCTCAACATCCCATTACTGACTGTAACCAACCCATAGATAATACCCACTATAGCAACCAACTATAAATACCCACTATTATAACCCACTATACATACCCACCTCAACATCCCATTACTGACTGTAACCAACCCATAGATAATACCCACTATAGCAACCAACTATAAATACCCACTATTATAACCCACTATACATACCCACCTCAACATCCCATTACTGACTGTAACCAACCCATAGATAATACCCACTATAGCAACCAACTATAAATACCCACTATTATAACCCACTATACATACCCACCTCAACATCCCATTACTGACTGTAACCAACCCATAGATAATACCCACTATAGCAACCAACTATAAATACCCACTATTATAACCCACTATACATACCCACCTCAACATCCCATTACTGACTGTAACCAACCCATAGATAATACCCACTATAGCAACCAACTATAAATACCCACTATTATAACCCACTATACATACCCACCTCAACATCCCATTACTGACTGTAACCAACCCATAGATAATACCCACTATAGCAACCAACTATAAATACCCACTATTATAACCCACTATAAATACCCACCTCAACATCCCATTACTGACTGTAACCAACCCATAGATAATACCCACTATAGCAACCAACTATAAATACCCACTATTATAACCCACTATAAATACCCACCTCAACATCCCATTACTGACTGCAACCAACCCATAGATAATACCCAATATAGCAACCAACTAAAAAAACCCACTATCATAACCCACTATAGAAAATAACTATGAATACCCACCATAACACCCCACTATAAATACCCACTGTAGAAAACCCATTACCTACTGTAACCAACCCACATAAGTACCTACTGTATCCTAGATTAAACAACCCATTTACCCACTGGAAAAGCTATCGGGATATGTTCAATGGGAGGGGTTTCGATGAAAAAAGTGACCGTACATAATATTGACAATTTGAAGTTATGCATGATATTATTTTAAAAGGCATATGAAATAGAAAAACAAAAAAAAGATTTATAGAATTATTACAATATATGAAAAATAAACATAAAAAGTTAGGTGATTGTGAACTCAGCAAAAGCAACACCAGGACCATAGACTGTTTTTTTTTATTTTCTGCTTCTTCTTTGTGATTGGGCTTTCATCATTTTTTTGACCTTCAAGCTTCAACTGGCTTTTCTGTCTTCGGTTATCTATATAGAAAAAAGGAATGATATAAATATACATTAATTTATGTCCCAAAGATTCATACTCTCAAACCTATGACCTATCAGAAACCTCCTCAGTCATTCTGTTCTGCACTTGTCCAATGGAAATGTTGGGAATATTATGAAAATAATTCCTTTCCATTTTGCTCCTAAGCAGTGAATGAGTGACATCTATCTTCAAAAAGTTGGTCAGTACTCTTTACAAGAAAGGATAAGTTGAATGTGTTTGTTGCCCCTGATCATTTTTACAGCACTCCCATTCAGTCTGGATAATTAACATATAAATATGTACTCACATTCTTGTAGTTTATTTGTTACCAGCGTTTTAAAGTGGTCTTTGGCATATACGTCAGGGTACAGAAATTTTCTGTAATTTTCCTGGTAGCTATTCTGTCTTGTTTCGGCCGCTACTGTGATAATGAAACCAGAAAATATATTAAGAACCATTTTACCCGAAAAATGAATATTATTGATTTTGCATGGACTTTTTTGATGATGTACAGATAGATGTAGGTATGGAGTGAGTGAAATATTACACAGTTTAATTATTTAACTTGTTCATACTGTAACTATTTCAATATTACACAATTATTTGGACGACACAGTGATACACACAGGGGATCAAGAAAACAGATTGCACTCTAGAACCTTACGTTTTGCGACTTCTTCTGGATAGTCTATTTCAATAAAACTATCCCTTGCTCTGCTCCAGGCGAGCGCAGATAGCGACCACCTGGGCCAGGGTTGGATATCTCCCTCCAATATGATATCTTTCACGCATTCTGTAAGGGGAAAAAATAGACTCTTTATTATCTAAACAATGAAGGATCATCATTCTGAGATGACTGAGCTTAAAATGGTATTCAGGTTATGAAGTTGTGTACATTATTGTAATAAAGTTTCTCATTCAACACATCGTAATACTGATGGTGGTTTAACTTACCAAAAAGTGCAGCCAATGTTTCCTTCAAGTTTTCGCTTTTCTTCGTTTTTATTTTTGGACTATAATTTATTTTTCGTGTGTGTGGAATTTCAGGTTCCTAAAGCAAAAAAAAAAAAAAAACAATCAGGTAAATGTCATTTAAACAGTAAGCATGTCACTAGTAAGGAAATATATTAGTGTACGATGTCGATACTACAGGCAGAAAAACTGCATGAAATCTCGAATAGTTTTTTAATTTTTTAAAAGACAATCATAGAAAAAAAAATGGCGACTGATATAGGGGAATCTCAGCCCTCAGGGCAAGATTCTCAAGTTGGCTTCCAAAATACTTGGCAAAGCCTTATGTTTGACAATTTATGAATAGAAACAAAACGTGGTAAACAATTAAACAAAAATACAACTCGACCGGCAAGTGCCGGGCCAAAACCACACTCAAAGTTATATCACTCTACATTATGTCCAATTCGGATTCTCCACCATGTACTGGGTCTGCGATGTGAGAGGATTATTTAGAGACGAATCGAAACAGCTTCACTCTTCAACTTTTTATTTTATTTCCGGAACAGGAGGTCAAACAACAAAACATAGAAACAAGATACGGAGACGGAATACAATACACAAAAACGGTTAATTCCGGATATTCTACTGATGGTTATAATATAATATATACCATGTATATAACAAATGATAACATCGTTTATCTTCAATAAGATTCATCAGTTTGGTTAAATATGTACGTGATATCAAAGTTTTACTTTCTACACAAACAATATACGCGTAGTAAACGTGTCGCAACGTTTCAAGACCGACTAGTCCCTTTGTCAAGATATGACTGAGTGTGTTTAATACATAATGTACGTACATTGTTTGTTTGTGTAGAAAGTAAAACTCTGTAATATGATAACACCGTTAATGTAATGAATGCAAACATTCTAGCTGAAAATTACAGCACGCGAGATTCTTCAAAATATTCAAACACAATCGTACTTATAAAAATATGACTTTTATTGAGGTTAAGATCAAACCCGAAAAGATCTATTTCTTTTGTGTTAATTGGATTGCATCGAGTCTCTACATAATTCTGTAATACTAAGCCATAAATCTGCAAATTAATTGTGTTCTCATTAATTAAAAAACTGGATGACATTTCTGATTACAGCAATTACCTATAATACAGATTTTCTAAAAATGAAGTTTGGTATAAAGGTGTATCATAGTTATATGAATAACATATCTTCTGATGTCGCTTACTTTATCGATGAATTTTAGAGATATGTTCCGAAGACGCTTCTTCATATGTCGAGTTCTATTCACACACGTATGCCACGCCGCCGATCGTAATAATAAATTTATTATAACTCAATCATTTTTTCAAATATCGAGCTGAAATTTGGAATATATATCAATAAAAGCCTTACTAATAACACATCTTCTGATGTCGCTTACTTTAGCGGGTAATTGTAACGATATTATCTGGCGACGCTTTCTTCACTTTACATGCTAATACACACATGTGCCACGCCGCGATCGTAAAAATTCAATACATCATAACTCGGTCATTTTATCAAATATCAAATCAAAATTTGGTACAGAGGTGTATTATTGTCACATTAACAACATATCTTCTGATGTCGCTTACTTTATTCAGAATTTTTTAAGATTTTGTCTGGCGACGCTTGTTGTCACTTGAAGACGCTTGTTGTCGGTTGAAGACGCTTTTAAGTGAGACCGTTAATTTTGATACCGTGAAATTTACTTTAATCGTCAATAAATGATACTCTGAAATTAAAACATGAACACTCTTAAGCTTGTTCCTTTTCATTTAAGTATGTTCTTTCTCTGTATGTGCTCTATCAAATAAATCGTTTCCTTACCTTACATTCGTATATTATCTTTGTTCCGAACTCCTTCGATGCACGCCACATTTTGCATGGATAATGATAGAGAAGGTTGGTAAAATGAACATTTATGCGTCTTTCTGAGGATGCCAAACATTTTTGTACGCCCACCTGAATGTATTTATGGTGGTGGGGGGAGGGGGGACCACGATATCTTTGACTCCGAAATTCAGCATATAATGTCATTGTCCATTACGTTGTGACAATTACCGGGTGTTAATCTTACCCATATAAAACGTCAATAATACACCTTTCACATCAGAAGAGGTAAAACATACATACTGTGATTAATTCTCATGTTCCTGTTATTGTGCTGACTTACTTTAATGTCCCACAGTCACAACGTTAGTCTTGCCTCGTTTATATTTTGCGACATTTCCAAGGCATTCGCTCGGGTCTGGTATAACAAATATCAAAACGAAAATTGTGATGGAAATCGCAAGGGTTCTGTACTTTGACCTCCGTTATTGATTTATTGACAAATGATATTACTTATAATTTGGCCAGACTTTCAATAAGTCTTTTACATCTTCGGCTTCACGCGAGACAACAAGGACTCCATTCTGTATCTGAAATGAACGACAAACAGCCTCCAGCGAAGCCTCTACAGCTTGACTCAAGTTAGACCTACATACCTACCACATGGGACCTGAGGCAAATATACACTGCTGTTATGTTGTAAGTCAAACTAGTCACCAAGCCTCCACTTTGGAGACATCTAGGGGAGTAGTAATACATCATCGATTGAAAAAAACCACTTTGAGGCGGATTTTGTTAAGACATTAAAAAAGTTGAAGTGACGTCACAATTAAAAGGATGGAAGGCGACTATGACGTTGCACATAACAACATGTCACCTGTGGAAACTGCGTCGTCATAATTTGCTGACTATAACATTTATTGTATATTGCTGACGTGTTTACAATCTGATTAAAGCCACATCTGTTATTCCATTCCCGATACTCGACGTTCCAGTCAAAGGAACGTAGAGTATCGGGAGTGGAATCTAATCAATACGAAAATACCCGTAACGGTATTATAAAATACTGTATTGTCGCTAGACTGTTTTTTATAATATGATCTGTTCAACAACTTGAAAGACAGTTATATCTGTCGCAAAATGAATTAAAGAATAACATATATACCAAAATATCAATCATTTTTTAATGATTATCCGAACAGGTACTTTGAATTATTCAAACTTCATTATACTCGTAAGAATGAATAATTATTTAGCAAAATTAGTTAAATATTTTTCATTACGTTGGATTGTAACTAGACAAATTTTGTTATCCTAAATCACCCTATATGTATTAAATGCATAACCTTAATTAAAGAATCTAAGTATCGTTTCTGGTTACGTTATACATTTTATACCGTCTTGCCGAAACCTGATATTTACGTTAATTTTTATATTAACAAATTCAATTTCAGCATCGTTGAATTTTACTCAAAAGTCAAATCAGCATTTTTAAAGGTTGTACTGCTTCATTGAAGTATGCTCTTTTCCCCCTTCTTATGCGCTCAATGAAAAAAAATCTTACCTTACAATCGTATATCAACTTAAACTGTTCCATCATTTTCTTCATACCGACACTTAGCCAAGCTTTCGTTACGAAGGAAAGAAATAGTATGCGAGATTACGCGGGCGTTGGGCGAATAGTAACAGGGGCAGATAACTGCAAATTCATACTGCACGGAGTTAGTTTTTCCTTGCAGGCAAAATTTCGAGAGAAAAAAATAAGAAAAAAAATCGGTCTTGCGTCAAACCCCATTGTTTCACGCATCAGTTAATTTGTATGGGTAGTTAGTTATAGAATGACACTAAAGAAAGAAGAAAATATGTATATAATAAACATAAATAAATAAACAAAGTTAAGGCCAATAAGAAGGGTCAATTTTAGACTTGGTGAGCCTGTCACCCTTTCTACTTATACCACCATAGGAGGTGCTATCATCAGAAGAGGTCGTCAGACTAACACACACTGTGATGTGTTCTCATGTCCCTGTGACAGCGCCCATTATCTTGTTATGTACTACAATGTTGTAGTTATTTTGCGAAGCTGAATCCAAAGAAGCGCAACATAAAAAATATTGTAGAATATAAATCACCGAACAAATTTAAAATTGACCGTTTAGAAAAAACGGAGTTTTAAAGAAAACCTTGCCTATTTTTTCTCTGTATTATAATGTAATGGCTGCCAGTGATGACATCTCAATCTGAAATCACGGTATATTCTCAGATGAATTTAGCAATGTTGTAGTTAGTTTACGAAGCTGAATCCAAAGAAGCGCAACATAAAAAATATTGTAGAATATAAATCACCAAACAGATTTAAAATTGACCGTCTAGAAAAAACGGAGTTTGAGAGAAAACCTTGCCTATTTTTTTCTCTGTATTATAATGTTATGGCTGCCAGTGATAACTTCTCATAACTCTGAAATTAAGGTTTATTCTTATATCAATTATCAATTTTTTAATGTCGCTAAAAATATCATGTAATTAACTGTTGTGTTCCGTAAATAAGAATTGTCTACGATACTTATAAAACTTGTAATTATTAAACAAATTTATAACGAAAGCTGATACCGCCTATATGGGCGACTGCAGCCCAAGTCTCGCGATTGATCAACGAGAACAATAGGCTCAAGCGTGCGTTAGCGAGATCTGCGCGAGTTGCCAATCTCTGGCTTTATATGTCTCTGACCTAAGGCCTTTTCTGTTAAAGATTAAATATAATGAGATTTTTTAGACAGAGGGTAGAATTAATTGGGTATATTTATTATTCAGAGGTAAGATTTAATTGGATTATTTTAGAGGATATATTTTATGATGGAAGAGGTAAGATGTAATAATGCGGTAGTTTAGAGGTGAAATTTCTAAAGGCGAATTTACTGGGGATAAGTGGAGAGTAGGGGTTGGGTTCAGGGACTTTTGCTTGAACATCGTGTCTCAGCGGCAAGCTTAATTATGATATTTTATAGACTATGCTTAGTGGCACTATGCCTTATAGCTGGGCTATTTTAATTTGGATTATTTTAGAGGTGGAATTTAATATGGATATATTTTAGCTGTAAAATTTAATATGGATATTTTTGAGGCTATGTTAATTAGCCTATTTCAGTAATAAGTTTGCCTTAGATTCAACATGTCGTTATAATTGATAGGGAGTTTCATTAATAAAACCACGGCTCTGTTAGATAGCTAATCCTGAGATAATCTAATTCCGTGATAAAACATTACAAATATGCTTCAAATTTGCAATCATGATATGTGTGTTAGATTTATTTTCATACAGATTCATAACGATTATCAGTAGGCCATGTTTGATAAGAGAGTGCTACGGACATGGGACCAGAGGATATTTCACTGAAACACCTTTCCGGATATATTGACGACTCCGTATGTTAGAAAGGCCAAAATGGCGTCGAAGAAGAAAACGAAGAAACGTGCTCCGGCTGAGGAACATGTGGATTTCAATTTATCTGTAATTGAGCAATTGGGCGGTGACAAGGTAACAGTTTGTAGTGTTTTTAAAGAGAAAGCAAACAATGGAAAGTCATCGCATCGGGTTTAAAAGGCTATTATTCCTTTATTAACACCTCAATCAATGACCATGCTGCAAGTTGAAGATTCTGTTAGTAAACAATCGTACATAATAATATTATATAGTGTATTGACAGACGAGGCTAGTACCTGTGATCAGGGCATATGCGCAATATGTGAATTTTGGATTTTAATCTAAAATTTTAGCGCAATCTGTTTAATACTGGATTATAAACTCTTGGCATGCCAATGACCAATATCTCTCTCTACACTTACATCACATAAATAATAATAATAATAATAATAATATACAACATTTGATATAGCGCCCTATCTAGCTAACATAAGCCACTCTAAAGCGCTTTACAGTACAATGTTATACAGTCAATACAATTAGCATATATATTAATCAATACAATATTGAGGAATTCTCAGGAGCTGCCTTATATCAGGCGCTAACTACTAGTCCTATGCCACCTGGCCAATATCTCCCTATGTGTGGATGCCTGCGTGTGTGCTGGAGATGTATTGTGTTCTGTTTGTAGTGGAACCGTGCTTTCAACGGTATCATTTATAGTGCCTACGCACTTGAATGCTACAGCACAGATACCGCAACACCCACCCCAGACCATTTTATACTCCACCTGGGTTGTTGGAGTTGTGTGGGCAGGAGAAAAACACTTTCTCTAATACTCCATGCGTACAGCAACTTCGGGGATCGAACCCCGGCCGCCTGCCTAGAAGGCCGGAGTGTTAACCACTCGACCAATCCGCCCACGTTAATGGCCGAATAGTCTGACAATTAGCTAACAAATGAGGTTAAGAGAAATTCTCCGTACAAAGTCAGTAGAAGCAACTAGTACCTTACTAGGGTGTTGATTCTTGTGTTTGAAGTGGATCTAACCGTTGTATATTGATTCCTTATGTTCCATGGTGATCTGTAGTTGGTACATTTTGGTCACTGTAATTGGTTTTCCACTGACAACTTTGTGAATGCCACTTCTCTCTTTAAATATATACCTCTCTCTTATGAATGATAACATTGCATTTCTGTTAAAAAAAATTGATAATTCTACTAAATCTGGCTCAAATTTCTTTGCCATTTCCATTGGCTTTTATGTAATGAAATTGAATTTAAATTAAACTTTTCTTTAACAACATATTAACAACATTTTGCAAATCAAGTTCTATCAACTAATATCAATCACTTTTGTTTTCCCGGATGGAAGTGCCCAAGGGGTCTTATTTTGGAAGGAAACTGGACAACCAAGACAAAACCCATGTGGTCGGGCAGGTGACCTCATACTTTTTCATGTTCAATTCGGGAATTAAAACCTGCCCTTCTTGTTGAAAGGCGAGTTGGCTATCCACTGTGCCACCTGACCAAAAAATACCTTATTCTCGATAACAGTTATTATGCAATAAACCACAGTTCAAATCAAACTTGGCACAAAAGTGTCAAACTGAAAATCTACATCCTCATCATCCTGGGGTAAATTTCAGAATTTCTTTTCTTGTATTTTAGCATGACTTTGAACTCCTGAATGACGTAGACAATGAAGATAATGAAAGTCTGGAAGGGCTGGACAATGACATGGATGTAGAACCCGTCAAGAAAGATGAGGTAATTGTGACACATACAAGGCAGTGATATGGAATTGGGGTTTGTGTTTATGGTATTTGGTCGCACTGTTATGGGTATATACTGTAACACATGTGCTTTTTGCAAATTTTTAAATATCTTGACATTTGTTGTGTCAAGGACAACTTTTAGAGGAAGGTTAACTGCGTGAACATTTGATTCTGATGTCGTATATTGTGGCACATGATTAATCTGATAAGTTCATATTGAGTCAGTATAAGTTGTATAACTGACTGGATATGGGATTTATAATTTAATAGGTGAACATGTGTCGTCCAAGAACTGATAGTATGTATTGACCAGGGCCAGGCTGTTCATAGCCTTGTAAATAGACGCTTACTGGGACATCAACACAAATTTGCAAAATGTGCTTTTTGAGATCATTAGAAAATCATTATGAATCCTAATTCATACAACCTCAGTTTTGAACTTCAATATTTCTGAAAAGATACAAGTTTAAAATTGTGTGTTAAGTTAATGTTAAGCTATAATCCTGCTTTTGAACAACTGGACATTGATTTTCAGAAGAAGGATCTATGTCAAATAAACCTTGGTAATCTGAAAACCTGTTAATCCTGAATTGAAACTGTTTCCGGTAATATAATAACTTATCATACGACAAAATTACAAAAATGTTGAACTTTACAACCTGATCTGTCAACAATAAGTGGTTCTACAAGTACATTTTATTGTATGACCAAGTGATTGTGGCCAGCATTGTGAATGCACTATAATCAAACTTTTCATTTTAATATTTTCAGTTGAGAGAATTCATAAAAAAACTGGGAATCAAGGCATATCGAAATGACACCATAGATGAAAGGTCAGTAGTGACATCAGTAAAAAGTTGTAAACAACGGAATAAACAAAGTAACAACATATTAACAAAATGAAGTTCAACAAAGTTATCAAATCAACAAAATTATAGTTACTACTAGTAAAACATGTTTGGAACATTTAAAAATCATGGAACTCAAACTACCAAAGACATGTGATCTGGAACACGTCCAATTTGTTATCTAGGCATTTAAAAAAAATGAAAATGTTTGTTTTGGCAGAAAAAAATGTAATGTCAGTTGTGAGACTTAAAAATAATTGTTTTAGGACTTAAGGTTATGTCTTTTATAGACTGAAGGTGTAATCAGTGACCTTCACATGTACCTTATTCTAGATTTAACCCTTTCACCCCTAAAGTCACATTTGTACCTTACCAAATCAAAGACTGGGCAAGTCCAGTTTAAATATGTAGGGACGAATGAGTTAATTTACTTAGACCTAAAACTGTGCTTTTCAGAAGACATCAGTTTTTCTGGATGTAGATCAATAAAATAATTTGAAATTCTGTCTAAAAATCTTGTGACAAAAATACTCGAAGATGGAAAAAAAAACACCCTTTCATTCATATAATAAGATACAACTGGAAAACAGAATCTGTAAGTAATTCATTTGCTTGGAATTTTATTTCAGTGAAAAGGAAACAAAAACAGAAGATGAAAAGACAACAAAAGAAAAGAAAGAAGAGAAAAATAAGAAGAAACAAGATGGTGTCAGTAGTGTGACACCAACCCCACAGAAAAAGGAGAGAAACAAGTACAAAACACTTGTACAGCACTCGGAAGTTTCCAGTTCCTCAGTTGTTGGCCAGCCTCAGGGACTAACGGGACACATGATAATGTACAAACCCCGCGAGTACCTGCTGATCAGGCACGGCCAGCAGTGGCAGGACAAAGAGGTCAGTTTATACCACATGCTGAGTGACCTACTTAAAGTCTTTAAAGTGTACCTTTATTATAATATTGAATTTCCATGTATCATAAGGAGATAACAAATCTGAAGATCAAAAGAAATTTTAGTGCTAATTTTGCAAACAGATGTTGTTTCCTGTACGTTAATCTTTTCATTGTTTTTGGATTAACGCAGTGTAATATTTCCTTATAATGATGGGGGTATATATATTATATATTAAAATGATCATTAAGAAACCAAATCTTGTGTAGAATTTTTCTGGGCATTTTTATTTCTAAATGAAATATTTGGATTCTCAACAGTTTTGTCGAGGAATGATTATTTTTATATTTTCTCAATAGGATACTTTGCCTGTGCTGGGTAAAGGCGTGCAAGGTTTGGATCATGACTTGGAGAATCAGATGGAGAAGTTTGCTTCGAAGCTGTTAGCAGACGAAGTTAAAGTTCATAACAAACGTAAGTGAGTGTAGTAGCTTCAAGACAATCACAAAGATTTCCTGAAAAAGTTGTTAACTGACTTAAAATTACTCTTTGTGAAAATTTGATTTTAATTGATATATTGGTTTGTAAACCTGTACCCTAACCTTGCCCCACGGGTCTGATTATGGGACCAGTTTCAACGGAAATTTTCAATTGTAGGATTTTTCCTGTCACTGTAATAAATGTCTTTTTAAATATCAGTAAGCAAACCTGAATCAATATCATATATCAAAGTTTAACTTTTTCCACAATTAATGTACTTATTAAACGTGTCGCAACATTTCAAGACCGACTGGTCCCTTTGTCAAGCTAACAATGCTGAAAACTGCAATCAATTTGAATTTGCACTGTTTGCATTATTACCTAATTTTACAATTTTGTCAGCAATTTTTCCAGTGATGAGGGGCTGTTTCCTCAGCAGAATATCTAATAAAATCTCTGCATGATGCTAACCAGTCTCTTCCTCTGTAATTCCTCAGAATGGGAATCTAAAAAGAAATCCGAGGCGGGTTGGATCAAGACGGTGCTGGTATCTGGAACGTTGTCAGACAAGATTGCAGCCTTGACCCTGCTGGTACAGGAATCTCCAATCCACTGCCTTAACAGTCTCGACAGTCTCATTGCCATGGCGAAAAAGAAGGGCAAGCGTGAATGCATGATGGCTGCTGGTAAGTTGAGGGGAAACTGAGTTTATAATACCTCATTTATGAAATTAATTTCTTTAACAAAACCTACATTATAGTAACTATTATTCTTTGTTACACATACACATGGAGGATGATATGAAAACTGTTTATAAGTCAAACAAAACACTTTCAGTACTTATCCAAGATTTTGATGTCTAACTTTTAATAGTAGTTTCACTTATTTTGTACAAGCATTGTTTAAGTTTGAAATGCTGTTTGTCTACCTACCCTAAAATGTTTTGAGAGACGAAAACAGATACACAACAGTTGCGTTATTTAGACTTGCTTGGTTATATTTCATCTCTTCTAAAAGATCCTCTTTGGTAGAAGTGACAAGTACTCGCATTGTATATTATGTTATCTACATATCAATGCAGGTCACGATTAAAAAACAAAAGTAATGAAAATATAGTGTGGCCTACAGTCTAAGACAGCTTCTAGATATGTGTTGAACTTGTTGTATTTGTCTACAGATACTCTACGGGAGCTGTTTACCGCACACTTGTTACCAGATAACAGAAAGCTCCGGCAATTTAACCAGGTGAGTCGATCATGTCAGGTGTTCAGTGTATAACTTCAGTGTTTTTAGTTTGNGATGTACATCAAACATTACATTTTGTACCCAGATTCAGTGGTGTTATTGCTCATCATTTCTTGTTTCACAAGTTCAATAATTGTGTGTGTCATTAGCATCAAGTCATCTAGCATGTACAGTAATTCAATGTTGGAAATTTACACACTGAATGGAGTGATAATAAGCGTATATTGCAGTAGTCCAGCGGTGTTATTTGAGCCGAGTTGAGGTGTTAGCTAACATGATTGAAGGGTGGAGGACGATTAGTTCTATGTAAATTCGTATAAAGTCAGATTAGTTTCATTATGTGCTGCTTACATCAAGAAAAAAGATTCTGAAAAGATTTGAGCACAAGAGTTCCAGAATTCTTGTCAAGATGTCATAGATTATGCCCTGCCTTTGTTGTCTAAAACGACGTCACAGTCAACCTAACAGTGTAATAATAAAGTAGTGTTTGTTTAAGTAAGAATACACAAGTCTTTGGTAGTTTAAATGGGATAGCAATTTCACGTTGGATTATACATTGTATGTATTAAAACTGTTTTATGAGTACACAGCCTAGTTAATCAGAATTTATACATATGATATATTGTTTGATACTTTAAAAATAATGTGAGGTGGAATTAAATTTGAAAAATCACTGTCTTGACAAAGTTCAATACCTTTCACTGTCAAGGTCAAACAGGGATATTAAAGGTTAAATTCATTGTAAAACACACCTTTATGCTTTCAGTTTGACCTAGATGCTATAGAAACCACATCGGGTGGGAACAGAGATACTGTCGACAGGAAGCTGATCCTCTGCTGGTTTGAGTCTCAACTCAGGAACAAATACAAAGACTTCATCAATGCCCTAGATGTAAGTACAGTTCTGTCACATAAAAAAACGGGCTTTACCCAACCCTGGATCACAATGACTATGAGTCGGTAGCCTTTTTAGCTAGAGAATCGTAGATTAGCATGTTTTAATGGGACACCTGACCATCCAGCTGGTGAACTGAGTTATCATTGATCTGGTTTGACCATGTGATGAAGACGGGGGTAAGATAACAATATGCATTAAAATTTGAAGATATCAAAATGCGTGACACCAGTACAGATTGGTCATCTGTTTGTGCTTGTCTATGTGGAATACTGAATTAACTGAAATATTATGCATACTGCTGAATTTTCTCCCATGCCCTCCTTCTTGAGATTTTTCATCCCACTAAGCTTTCAACAGTGCCATGGGATTTTCTTCTTTAATACTGAAATTTTTACCAGTACAATGTATCAAAATTGTCGACCTCATTTTGAATTTGTTATTAAGATTGATTTGTAGTGTTTTAATGGAAATGGTATTTTTTCTTCAGATGATGTCAAAAGATACAATACCAGCTGCCAAACAGAAAGCAACAAGTATGTATACTCATACACGGGTACGCCTCCGTTACTACGTTTTAGGAGTCATGGCCTCTAAAATGAAGTGTTTTGGCCCTTTCTAGGTGGTCATCTCTGAACCTGTTGAGTGATAATATTATGACACCTATTATTAGGGCAACGTATCGGAGATACGGGTGCCCTATAGTAATCACTCTGTCTGTCTGTCTGTCTGTCTGTCTGTCTGTCTGTCTGTCCACAAATTTTGTTCCTGGCTGATAACTTTGGTATTTATTGACCAATGTACATGAAACTAAGTCAAGATTTTCAGTTCACAAAAATACACATTAAGGTAAAAAGTCAAGGTCATTAGGTTCAAAGGTCAAGGTCAAATTTTACATCTTTTCACTGATGAACATTTTGTTATGACATTATGAAGCAAAGTTGATCAGAATTAAACAAGGAGTCAACTGACCAAAGGTCAAGGTCATCGGGTCAGGGGTCAAGGTCAAATTTTGTAGCTTTTCACTGGTGAACATTTCGCTATGACATTATGGAGCAAATTGTTTGGAATTAAACAAAAAGACACACTGAGGTTAAAAGTCAAGGTCAAAGGTCAAGGTCATTAGATTGAACGGTCAAGGTCAAATTTTGCTTCTTTTCACTGATGAAAATGTTGTTATGACATGATGAAGCAAAGTTGATCAGAATTAAGCAAGGAGTCAACTGACCAAAGGTCAAGGTCATTGGGTCAAAGGGCAAGGTTAAATTTTGTATCTTTTCACTGGTGAACATTTCGCTATGACACTTTGTAGCAATGTAGCTCAGAATTAAACAAGGAGTCAATTGACCAAAGGTCAATGTCAATTGGTCAAAGGTGAAGGTTAAATGTTGTACCTTTTTCCTGATGAACATTTTGTTATGACATTATGAAGCAATGTTGTTCAGAACTTAACACAGAGTCAACTGACCTTAGGTCCAGGTTACGGGGTCCAAAGGGTCAAGGTCAAGTTTTGTATTTTTCACTGATGAACATTTTGTTATGATATCAAGAAGCAAAGTTGGTCGGAATTAAAGAATAAGTCAACTGACCAAAGTTCAGGGTCACTAGGTTAATGGTCAAGGTCATTTGGGTCCAAAGGTCAAAGACAAAGTGGATCTCTGACTTTGACCCTGGCTCTTGATTGAGGAGGTATATAAGGTGAAATAAAACAAATCAAAGCTAACAAATGAGTATTGCACCGGTATTTACATTTCTGTTAGCCCAGCAAATATGGAGGTGGAAGGAAACAAGACTCACATCATAGTACATGTAAAATGTATATTTTGCTTCCTTGCGATTCTTTTTGAAGTCCAAATAGCAAACGTCAAGCTCAGCTATATGGGCAGATTACTTCTTGATGATTATGGGGGATATATTGCCACAAGACGGGGCCCTTACTGACCTGTCAGTGTTCTAGTTATACCTCATCTTTATAACAGCATGTCTGATTGGATGATAGGGGTCACATGACAGAGTAATAAAACATCATGTCGCCCTCACATGCTCAAGTTTCTCCGATCATATTTCCCTTATTCAGAGTCTGCTGAAGAAAAATATTGTATAACCTTGGGGAAACAAAGAATTGTGTTTCCCTAAAGTAAGGGTAATACATGTATAATGTTACGCCATATTCTCGTTTGTTGTACATTATGTCGCTTATTGGTCACCATTGTTGCCAGCTTTTAACGATTTATAAGTAGATTTCCTGCAAAAGATATTTGTAATGTTGAATTGATTTTGACATCTGTGGTCTTATATTTCATATTGACAACAATTTCTATAAAAACAAATCCATAGTAATACTATGTGGTGGACAATCCTACTGTCCCTCCTGTTGTGATACTCCGGTATATACGTTATTAAATCTTACTGTCCTGTGATAAAATGTGATGTGTGTATTTCCAGGTACAGTGTATGAATTGTTGGCGGATAAACCTGAGCAGGAACAGGTGAGTTGGTCACAGGCAGAGTACTACTCTACATTGTCCTGTTGTCCGGGTCATTCTGCATTCAGTCTTGGAGAAGAAAAGCCACTGGTTTAGAAACAAAATTTCACTTGTTTTAGGGGATTTGATATCATTGGGATCCATTTGAATTTGTTTTTTATAATATTTTATTTATGATTTATGATTATGTAATTATTAATCTGTTGCAAAGTCTCAAAACTTTTGAGACAAACCAGTAACTATACATGTGAACCTACTGAAGCCAGTCACGAGATGAAGCATGAAGGGTCATTCTTAAGATGTATACATAAAATACAATACCGTATTTATCCTGCAATAAGCCCGGGGGCCAACACGTAATCTCGGAATCAAAGGATGGGGGATGGGCTTATTACAGGACACTGAAAAACCTTTTGTTGGCATTTCTTCCTAACTGCAGCATATACTGATGGGCATATTACCAAGCATGGGCTTATTGCTGGATAAATACGGTATGCAAACAAGTGCTTTTTAAGCTGTGAATAATCTGTTACATTCTGTTTCTGATTCTGTCCAGCTTTTGCTGTCGATGTTGGTCAATAAGTTAGGAGACCCAGACTACAAACTGGCCGCCAAGTCTACACATCTTCTGTCCCGACTCGGTGAGTAACTAGCTATAGCTCAGTCTTTATTTTGATCTGGTTTTAATGAAACTAGACTAGATATATATGCCTGTGTTTTTACTTGAATGAAGTAATCTAGAATTGGAGTGGAAAGCACTGACTCATTGTTGTCTTCCACTACATCATGCAAGTTTTTTAAGCGACAGCATTTAAAAAGATCCAAGCTTTTTAAAATCTCAGTTAATTGTATAAATCTCAGTTAAGTGTATTATGTGGTCTAGCACACTACTTGTAAAATCAGGGTTCCCTTAAAGTTATCAACCTTACCTTTAAAATGTTTCAGTTGACAAGCACCCTAACATGAAGGTAGTGGTTGTCGAGGAGGTGGAACGTTTGTTATACAGACCCAACATATCACAGAGGGCCCAGTAAGTATAGTCAACTTAATCATCACAGTATTACACAGAGGGCCCAGTAAGTAAAGTCAACTTATTCATCACAGTATTACACAGAGGGCCCAGTCAGTATAGTTAACTTAATCATCACAGTATTACACAGAGGGCCCAGTAAGTATAGTCAACTTAATCATCACAGTATTAGAAATGATATAACACAGAGGGCTTGGTAGTGAAAGTCACAAGTCCATCTGCTAAGACACACTTATAATTACCCGTGACTGGTGTCCGACCAGCCATGCCAGTTATCTGACCACTGTCTGGGGAAGTATAGTCAACTTAATCATCACAGTATTACACAGAGGGCCCAGTCAGTATAGTCAACTTAATCATCACAGTTTTACACAGAGGGCCCAGTAAGTATAGTCAACTTAATCATCACAGTATTACACAGAGGGCCCAGTAAGTATAGTCAACTTATTCATCACAGTATTACACAAAGGGCCCAGTAAGTATAGTCAACTTAATCATCACAGTATTACACAGAGGGCAAGACAGATATATCCTCATCACTTGCATACCTCTCTTCTTTCTTCCTTACTTCCATTCTAAAACCTGATCTTTTCCTCCTTCCTCAATTCATCTATCATTCCATCATTGCTTTTCATATATTTCTGTCAATGGAACATCGCTTTCCTTCCACTCTTCCTCCATCATCTAACATCTTCATTTAGCCACATCACACCCTACATCTAACCTGTCTTTATATCATTTGGAATCTTCCCTTGTACTTTCCATCTTCCCATTGGTTCAAGATAATGTAAATTGTTGATTCGACATAGTTGATATAATTTTTTTTTAATAAATCATTCGATTGGCACCTTCCTCTCTGCCTTACTTCTCCCCCTCCTTGTACCTACTTCCCCTTCTCTGTCAGATCAGTTTGTAGATAAACATGATTTACATTTAAATTTATTGAGGATATTTATGGACACTTCTCAATTCTGATATTCTAATAGAATTTTACTTGGAATCTTGTAATGGATATTTTTCAAACTGAAAAAAAATCTCTAGAGAAATCGCTAGAAGGGGGATTCATTGTAAAACTTTGTTAACTTGAATCAGTTATCACCATGTGACGCTGATAGCGACCTACAACCTTTACATGTATTGTGTTACAGATATTATGCTGTATGTTTCCTCAATCAGCTGTTATTGAGTGAGGAGGAATCACAACTCGCTGTCAGACTCATTCGACTCTACTTTTCATTCTTTAAGGTATGTTTTGTGCTTGCTTGACCGCCTCTTTTTAATATTAATTTCTATCATGAGTTCCAGGGTAGTCAGGCGGAGCAATGGATAGCGCACTAGCCTTTCACCAGATTGGTTAGGGTACAATTCTCTGATCAGATGTGAAAAGGTATAATGTCACCTGCCCGATCACCTGGGTTTCTCTGAGTACTCTGGTTTACTCCCACATTAAGTTTCAAACTTGTTGTAAAATGAAGATCATTTAACTTGAGTTTCTGGAAATGTCGAACCAAAATTTACATCTTTTTTGTTTCTCCTGTCACTTGAGATAATGTGATTGTGTAGCAAGTGATTTGAATTGATTTTGTTGTGCAGGCGTTTGTTAAGAAGGGTGAGGTCGACAGTAAGATGATGAGTGCCCTGCTCACAGGTGTCAACAGGGCGTATCCTTATGCAAAAGGTAATTATAACACTTCACAGGTGTCAACAGGGCGTATCCTTACGCCAAAGGTAATTATAACACTTAACAGGTGTCAACAGGGCGTATCCTTACGCAAAAGGTAATTATAACACTTCACAGGTGTCAACAGGGCGTATCCTTACGCAAAAGGTAAATATAACACTTCACAGGTGTCAACAGGGCGTATCCTTACACAAAAGGTAATTATAACACTTCACAGGTGTCAACGGGGCGTATCCTTACGCAAAAGGTAAATATAACACTTCACAGAGGTCAACAGGGCGTATCCCTACAACAAAGGTAATTATAACACTTAACGTGTGTCAACATGGCGTATCCTTACGCTAAAAGTAATTATAACATTTCACAGATGTCAACAGGGCATGTCCTTACACAAAAGGTAATTATTACACTTAAAAGGTGTCAACAGGGCGTATCCTTACGCAAAAGGTAAATATAACACTTCACAGGTGTCAACAGGGCATATCCTTACGCCAAAGGTAATTATAACACTTCACAGGTGTCAACAGGGGGTATCCTTACGCCAAATGTAATTATAACACTTCACAGGTGTCAACAGGGCGTATCCCTACGCCAAAGGTAATTATAACATTTCACAGGTGTCAACAGGGTGTATCCCTACAACAAAGGTAATTATAACACTTCACAGGTGTCAACAGGGTGTATCCCTACAAAAAAGGTAATTATTACACTTCACAGGTGTCAACAGGGCGTATCCCTACGTCAAAGGTAATTATAACACTTAACAGGTGTCAACAGGGCGTATCCCTACAACAAAGGTAATTATAACACTTAACAGGTGTCGACAGGGCGTATCCCTACGCCAAAGGTAATTATAACACTTTCAATTGAGTTGTTTAAATTTTTGATATTTTGGGTAATCATTCTGTGGGTACTTCTGTCTATGACGTTATTACCTTATACTGATAAAGTCAGCTTTGTCATAATCTTTTGATTGTTATCAGGTGAAGAAAAGTTCATCAGTGAGCAGATGGATACCCTGTATAAGATAGTACACATCGTCAACTTTAACACCAGTCTGCAGGCCCTTATGTTATTGTACCAGGTGATGGACTCCAGGTAAACAAACACAGACAATGATTGACTTTTGGTGACCAATATAAGGTTTATCAAATTATTGACTTTTGGTGACCAATATAAGGTTTATCAAATTATTGACTTTTGGTGACCAATATAAAGATTTATCAATCGAAAAAAATTCTTCAGAAAGTTAGGATAGATAGTATGTTCTTTAAGTTAAATCTTTGAAAACCGCAGTATGAAATAAATATGATACCTCAGCTATTAGTAATCTCCTTTGTCTTCCTCTGTCATGCATGCATATGAGACACAATTTAATCTCATTTCATTACGCTGCACTTTTTCTATCCTTGTTTTGTTTGTTCTTGAAGTTCACCTATTGTCATTATCTCCCTTGGTCCTGTCAGATTATAATTAACTCCGTTGTCCCAAAAATTCTCGTGGATCTTGCTCATCTCTCTTGTTCTGTTCCTACAGTCAAGGTGTCTCTGATCGGTACTATGGGGCACTCTACAAGAAAATGATTGACCCGACGCTGTGTACATCAGCCAGACAGGCCATGTTCCTAAATCTGCTCTTCAAAAGTATCAAGAAAGATGTGGCTCACAGGAGAGTAAAGGTGTGTTATTACGTCAACAGTGGTATCCTTGTAAGGATCGGGACAATAAAGGGACTGTAGGAAGTTTGGTAATGACTTCAGAATATATTAAACATAGAATTCATATAATGATGAAAACAGTGTTCAGTTCTCAGAGAAGGGATGGTCTGTTCATTTATTTTAATGCTGAAAGTTAGGGTGAAACTGATACATGTTGACATACTTAATTACAGTTACTATAATTCTTGCATACTTTGAGACACAGCTATACCTGTACTTGTTGTTAACATTGTTGAATGTGTTTTTTGACACCTGTATTTTGTTGCAGGCCTTCATTAAGCGACTACTACAGATCTGTCCGTTCCAATCACCCCAGTTCACATGTGCTGCCCTCGTCTTACTAGGGGAGATCGTCAAAACTCACCCTCACGCCATTCTTACTCAACACAAGACAATGGTAAGGTCCCAACAATTTCCTTTTCTTTGTCTCCACAATTACTGTCTTTGTTTAGACAGCGTCAAGTCTAATAAGACAGCGTCAAGTCTAATAAGCTGATGTCAAGTCTATAACACTTAACAGGTGTCTAATAAGACAGCATCAAGTCTAAAAAGATGGCGTCAAGTCTAATAAGACGATGTCAAGTCTAATAAGAATGTGTCCGGTCTAATAAGAATGTGTCCAGTCTAATAAGACAGCATCAAGTCTAAAAAGATGGCGTCAAGTCTAATAAGACGATGTCAAGTCTAATAAGAATGTGTCCAGTCTAATAAGACAGCATCAAGTCTAATAAGACGGCGTCTAGTCTATTAAAAAGACGTCAAGTCTAATGAGAATGTGTCCAGTCTAATAAGACAGCGTCAAGTCTAATAAGATAACGTCAAGTCTTATAAGACAGCGTCAAGTCTAATAAGACAGCTTCAACTTATTAAGCTTATAAGAGAGATTCTTTTTTTATCTTCCTACATTGAAATCCTCTTCAAGCCTCCATTCGTGTCAACAAGAATGATTAATATAAGTTGATAAACTTGTTTCAGAATTTTTGTAAAATAAATATAGTTCGAGAGCTTCAAATCTTTTACACATTTTCATACACTGACCGATATATTTTGGATAGGGTTTTGATGATAATAATGAGGATGATGATGAAGACGAACACTTTACTGACCTTCCTGCCCCGGATGAGGATGTGGTTGTGATGAAACACGAGGAACCGGAAGATGTTAAACCAGTGATACATTCGTCATGGATACACAAATCTATCAATCAAGGTGAGGGACCTGGGTCCAGTTACTTTTTTAGCTCCTGATCACCCTCACCAACCAAACCAAACGGTTCGTCACATGGTTGTTTTCAACACCATCATTAAAGTAAAGTATCTTTTTAAGTAGCTCTTCATAATTCATAATTAGTGTTTTTGTTTAGTCCAAACTGTGTCTAGGTTTCCATATTTATTTTAAATTAAACCAAGAACATACCCTTGGTAATTTGATGTCAAAGTAATATAAGAAGTCACAGGATGTACATTACCTAAACTTACTCCAGAATTAACTTTTTATGCAACATATTACCTTATTTTACTGGTAACTTATTGGGGATCCTTAGAAATGTTAAAGAAAAATACTGCAATTACTTCTGACATTGACTATTATTCATTGACTGAACTGTTGTCATGGAAACTGCACTTATTACATGTATGAACTTATCACTAGGAAAATATGGTAACATAGAAATAATTTTGTAAAAATATTTGATGAAACTAGTACCACTAATGCTAGTTTGCATTCATCCCTGAAATTTCATAATGAACTATTCCAACCTCTTAATTGGAAGGGTTCAAATGTGTCTTCAGGGGTGAATAAGTTAAAACATGTGTCACATTTGTGTAGCATGATATTTTCTATCAGAAGTAAATTTTGACATTGCAGGGCACTGTCAGTTTTACGACCCCTTTGTGAGGAACCCTCTACATTGTCGAGCCGAGCAGGAGTGTATGTGGGAACTGGAGAAACTCGCCACACATTTCCATCCAACTGTTTCTCTGTTTGCTCAAACTCTTCTCAAGGTAGGCGATCTGAACAAAAGATTTATTTTATTCACGAGGCTATTCCTGTTATTGTTGATATACATGTAGATATATGAGGGAAATATATTGAAACCGTAAAGGTACAATTTTCCCCTCAAGAAGGAAAATCAGGGCCGTGTTCATTTAAACGGTTTTTCGTTTATTAAATAAGGTCCGACCTAGTAATCTGATGCTGCTTTCAGGCGAGCCTTGACAAAGCCTTGCAAGGCCTGCATAAACATTTGCAGGTCCGCCTGGATTTATGCCCAAAATTGTTACATTTAAAAACGGACAAATCAGTTGTTCCACATAAACGAACAACTGATTGAGGCCCCAGGAAATCAAAGCAGTACACAGTATGTGAAGGTTTAACATCCCAGTTCCCTATGGTGATGTATTAATTATGGTAGAGTGAAGTAAACTTTTGGCCTGTGATCACCTGATGTTGCTATTTTCTCCAGGGTGAACCAATCACATATGGAGGAGATCCTCTACGCGACTTTACAACTATCAGGTTCCTCGAAAGATTTGTCTACAAAAATCCCAAACAGCAGCAGAACAGTAAGGTTTTCTCCCGTATTGCTTCATTTTATATCTCAGCAGAACAGTAAGGTTTTCTCCCGTTTAGCTTCACTTTACATCTCAATGCTTTTCAAATGGAAATTAACAACTATCATCTTGTAAAAACTAATTAGTTGCTCATTTATCATTTATCTTTAGAAAAAAATACCTGTCACTCTTTAAAACTGGAATTAGTGTATTTCTTTTAAGGGTAATTCACATGCGAATTTGAAAAGTTTGTGTACATGTTTTGATATTGTCTTAAGTTAGAAAAGCTCAACTGTTGAATTGCAGTACCAGAAAACTCAGGAATTTTGTCTAAGACCAAGAGGCGGGATCCAATAACTGGTGCCAAGAAGTTGGCCATTAACAGCAAAAGCTATTTGGACCAGGATGAAAGCGAAATTCCTGTTGAGGAAAAATTCTTCCACAAGTAAGCCTAATATTCAAGTTGTGTATACCATGATGCAGAAAAACTACAATCTAGTGCTGTAGTCCCATATCTTTATGATTACCAAATAGTACCTGTATATTCTAACATCTTGTCTTATCCAACCAATGTGTGTGCCACATTGTGTCGAGTTGGAAAGGTTACCTGACAAATATACATGTTTTTTTCTGTTTTGTCACAGGGTGTCATATTGGACAGGTTAATCTGGTCAATATGTTGTATGCCATAAGGTGTCAGATTAGACAGGTTTATCTGGCTTATATGTTGTGTCTAACAGATAAGACAGGTTTATCTTACTAATAGTTTGAGTTTAACAGTGTCATCAGACAGGTTTATCTTACCAATAGTTTGAGTTTAACAGTGTCATAAGACAGGTTTATCTTACTACTAGTTTGAGTTTAACAGTTTCATCAGACAGGTTTATCTTACTAATAGTTTGAGTTTAACAGTGTCTTCAGACAGGTTTATCTTACTAATAGTTAGAGTTTAACAGTGTCATTAGACAGTTTTATCTGATCAGTATATCATGTGCCATATATGTAAGACATTGCAGGGTAATGTAAGCACTATGTTGTGTCCCACAAGGTGTCAGATTAGACCGGTATCACTAGGGAGCTTGTCTACAAAACAGTTGATATTTTACACTGGAAAAAATATTGAGGCAGTCAAAGGTCAAGGTCACAGCAAATAGAATTTCTGTCATATCGTCTTGTAATATTTGATTGATAAGCTAATCATATTTTGTATTAGCTGCTTACAGGGTTTGAGTTGATGAAAAGGGATGTTTGTCTTGTTGTTGAGGATTTTGGATTGTCTAACAAGTAAACACCTGGTGTCTTTGTTGATAATAGGTACTTCACCCAGAAGGAGGCTCTCAGTGGTATAAAGGTAAAGAAGATACAAGATGACAGTGACGATGATGGCAGTGTCTGTGATGACGACTTTGATGTCTACCTTGGTAAGTATAATGTATGACATTACAGGTTATCACTATGATCTCAAGATCATCGATTTTATACTTGTATTACTTCATATTCAACACAATCAGAAGTAGTGCAGCAGGAAACTCATATAAGTGATAACTACATGACCTTCCTTTGTAATAATGATAATAATAATTACAGGTTGTTATATACCGCTTTATCACAACCTGGTTCGTAGGTCGTCTCAAAGCGGTTCACAAATTATTATCCCTGGTTATAGGGCCTTTGCAACCAGCCAATATCTTTCTCAACTCCCTGGGGAGCAAACAGCCGGAGCTGCCATTTCAGCACTAACAGCTAGCATTCAACAATTCTAAACGGCTCAACTATGTACTTATTTACAGCTGAGTAGACTGGAACAAGCGGTGTAAAGTATCTTGCTCAAAGATACAACACAGTGCCGTGACGTGACTTGAACCCGCATCCCTTCAGTCACGAGCCGGGTGTCCTACCACTTGACTACCGGCCTCCATAACATGAACTTCCATGTGTATGTGTTGGAGGTTGAATATTTTCGAAAAGTTAAAGGCTTTTTATAAAGACCCTTAGTGCAATAAATGTATAGTGTTCCAGTCTTGCCACATTTACATTATAATTCATACCGCCTAGTGGTGCATTACAACACTTATAATAGAAGTATTCAAAGCAAAATCTGCCAGAAACAGTTTCTGATATAGCCATGATTGTTAACATTCCCATTGTTGATACTTTCAGATAAATACGAGGGGGAACTGGAAGGTAGAGATGGGATGACCTTTGACTTCTCGGACGTCGACTTTGCAGCGTAATAAGATTTGTTTTATCCAATATGTTCAATATTTATAAGACGTAGACTATGTTGTATAATCTTAAGATGATATACCATCTTTAAATCAGCAAATCTAATCAAAACAGAATCATGGTTGCTTATTTTCATTTTATACATATAAAAGGAATTTTGGGAGATTTTAGGTTATTAAGTATATTGAAGCATTTATAATACAATATAGTGATAGTTTTAGGTTTCATTTTAAATTTCTCCTTGGGATAAATGCTAAATTTGGTTCAAATTGAGGTCAGAGGTCATGAATAAAGTAGAGCTACTCTAATACTCTGTACCATGCTTTGAACATCTTGAGACCTATAATTTAAGACCACTGGTATTTCTCCCAATAATAGATCAATGGGAAAGAAACCAAAGAAAAAACGACAACAAGAAGAGGAAGATGAAGACGATGACTTCGATAATTTATCAGATGAGGAAATGGACTTCGATAATGATGATGATTTCAAGGCAGCTTTTGCAGATTTTGATGAGGACGATGTTGAAGGATCTGATGGTGATGAGGACGATATTGAAGGATCTGATGGTGATGAGGACGATGTTGAAGTATCTGATGGAGAGGAAGATGACATGGGTGATGATGATGAGGATGAAGATAATGAGGAGGAGGAGGATTATGATGAGGAAGGGTTCAATGAGGAAGACATTGAGTTTTCTGGAGATGGTAATTAATTTCACAATTACTTTCTACATAGGATATAAACTGAGATAACATTGTAATTTTTGTTTTATTTCCCAATGCTTAACTGAGTCTGTGATAACGTAGAATCTTTGTTAAAAACCTGATATAAGGAAAAGAAGGAAAATTGTAATTACACATATGGACCTTGTTGTTCCTTATGGATTGTAAAACAACTTGATTACTGGGACAGAGAATAGAAAACCTGTCACAAAATATATTTTCTGGATAGTATTGACAACCAGCTTATGATTGCTAACCGACAGTGAAGCCCGATCACATTATATACATGTTCTTTGTGCTAACCGACAGTGAAGCGGGATCACATTTTATACTTGTTTGATTACTAACCGACAGTGAAGCGGGATCACATTTTATACTTGTTACATTGCTAAATGACAGTGAAGCAGGATCACATTTTATACTTGTTCTTTGTGCTAACTGACAGTGAATTGGGATCACATTTTATACTTGTTTGATTGCTAACCGACAGTGAAGCGGGATCACATTTTATACTTGTTCGATTGCTAACCGATAGTGAAGCGGGATCACATTTTATACTTGTTCTTTGTGCTAACCGATAGTGAAGCGGGATCACATTTTATACTTGTTTGATTGCTAACTGACAGTGAATTGGGACCACATTTTATACTTGTTTGATTGCTAACAGACAGTGAAGCGGGATCACATTTTATACTTGTTTGATTGCTAACCAATAGTGAAGCAGGATCACATTTTATACTTGTTACATTGCTAACTGACCGTGAATTGGGATCACATTTTATACTTGTTACATTGCTAAATGACAGTGAAGCGGGATCACATTTTGTACTTGTTTGATTGCTAACTGACAGTGAAGCGGGATCACATTTTATACTTGTTCGATTGCTAACCGACAGTGAAGCGGGATCACATTTTATACTTGTTCTTTGCAGATGAGTTTGCTGAACCTCAGCCAATGTCAAAGAAGAGACGTGGAAGTGAACTGTTAATGGCGACCTCATCAAAAAGATCCAAAGGGTAAACTTATCCACATTTACGACATTTAGCGATAAAGTTTCAGTGTTGACATTGTTAATAGGTTAATAGGGTTTTGTACATAATAGATTTGAGCTTGCAATGCTATTAAGTGTTTTATCAATAATTGGCAGTGGTGATGATCATTCTTTACTGGAATTTATATCTCCCATGTCACAGCACAAAACTCTTTTCTAATGTCCTGTAATAATTAATTAATTAATTACACAAAAAAAAGAGGGGGGGGGCAATTTTTTGGGGGTGGTCATGTTTGTTGGGGTGTTAGGGGCACTTACTGCAAATACAGATGTGATATAAATTAATAACATGTGTATTGTGCCCAATGAAAATAATGTTGGTGCCAACTCAAATACCCCCCAACCCCCTCCACCCACATATACACTGTATGTATTTCTATAATAGCCCCTAGTGTATTTGTGGGCAGATTTAGATGAAATCTCTGCCGATCATCTAGTGCAACAGTATACATAAAGAGAACACAGATATGAGTTCATTTATTTATTTATTTTTACCATGTGTATTTTTCATGTGTTTCAGCTCCAAAGGGTTATCCAGTATATTTGCCTCAGCAGATGATGTAAGTATGACGTGTCATGATGAAAAGTTTGGTAGATTATGGTAGAACCATGTTCACACGCCCATTAAACAAACCTGAAATGTCTGAATGATGTAACGATACTTGCCACTTAATCCAAGATGTTGACTTTAATTGGACAGACAAATTGTGCTAGATAAGTTCACTCTAAACATATTGAATATTGTTATTCTGTTGGAAAAAGACCCTGTATGTTAGGGTATTGACCTATAATATGCTTTGTGTTTTCCAGTTTTCACATCTTCTTGATGAGACAGCTGCCTCCAAGCTGGATATGACTACATCAAATGCTGTGTCTAACAAGGAAAATGCTTGTAAGTTTTCTCGCTCTGTAGCCATTTTAACTGAATTGTAAGCTTGCCTGGTCCAAAGGGTGAACTTATGCTAGTCCACTGACCATAATCGCAGGCTCCAAAATTCTAACCTGTCCCCTGTTTATGGTCAGCTATCTACTGCTCCATAAAATACAGAGATTTGTCGCCGAAATCTGGCAACGTTAACAAAGATTGTGATAAAGTATTTACACCTACATGTCAATTAATTTACTTCTCACTCACTTGACTAGGTACATGTCATGTTCCAACGTGCAGGCTCCAAAATTCTGACCACTCGCCTGTTTATGGTCAGCTAACTACTGCTTTATAAAACATGGAGATTGTTATCGAAATCTGGCGACAACAATTTGCAAGAGTTCTAATGGGTTTTTTGGAGGAAATGTTTACACCTGTCGATGAACTTATTTCTCACTCACTTCACTGTCATGGTCCAACTCGACACATTGAGGACACCACATTGTTATATTAAACATCATTGATCAGCAGCCATTTATAGACGTATAGCTACTTTATCTTTATTTATTATCTAGTTGCTATTTACTTTCTGAACTCTTTGGCCAATTATTTTGATATTGCAAATCAAAAAGTAGTTGAAGTGAAGATGTAGGAGGCTACATTCGCGTTACCGGTTGAAACGGTACGTGTGGCGCAGAAATTTTCCACGATAAACGAACACACTTGGACCGTTCTATAAGCAGAGCTAAAAATGCACAGTTTCGGAGAATAAAAAACAATGTATCAAGAATATTATGCCCTTCTCTCACGCGTCCACTAAATTACATAACGTATCTTAAAAACTACATGTGGCTTGACATTGTTTTAGAAAGAAATAACGGAAACTAGCAATATTCAGCAGTTTAGTTTCGGCCAGGTACGCCTGGACCCCTCAATCTACACGTACCAAATTTTCCTGAGGTCAGCCTCGGTCCAAATCTGTACCTGTCGTTTTCTTTACAGGTTCAACCGTTTCAACCGGTAATGCGAATGTACCCTAAGTCAGGATATTCATTCAAATGTTATATTCCTTTTCAAGTATGATCAGTCACTAATTTTTATTTTGCAGCTGAGAAGCAGTTGAAGTGGGAAATGGAGCGAGAGAAGAAGATGTCGGGTAGAGAAGACTGGAGGAAGTTAAAAAACAGGTCAAAGAAACCCTTTAAACAGTCCACTCAAAAGTTTAAAGCGAAATCTAAAGGGACCCAGCGGTTCAGCAGTAAAAAGGGGACGGCTGGCCGCAAGAGATGATGACAAGAGGTTGTTTACGATGACCATTGTGATGATTGTAGCCACTGCTTTCTGCAATGTTCTACTGTGTCTTGTGGGTCAAAAGTGCAATATGTGAGTCCGTGAGAGACTGGCAGAAACTCATGCAGACAAATGAGGTACTTGTACAGACTTGTGCAGGTCAATAAAATGTCAATGATTCATGCAGGACAATAAAAGACAGGTGGAGTCTCCACCAAGTCAATCGGAACCTTATAATGACTTGTCTCGAGTCACAGAGCAACTGAACTGGAATCAGCAGTTTTTGAAATACAAGCAAAAAGTCAGGATTCAATTAAAGATTACTTTTGGACAAAGCATCATACCAGGGTAGTACGGAGTAGTGTGGAGAAACAGATCCGTTCTGTTATCTGGGCTAAATCTGGTTAACATATAGATGTACTTACATCATATGTGGACAAAATACTTATTCTGCAAGAGTGGTGAAAACCTTGTAAAAATGTAGGAGATAATAAAATTGTATATAATATTGATCCGACTTAAATCATATTAAAACATTTCTTCAATTTGTGGGCATTCTGCTTTTTACATTTCCAAATGTTTCTTCTAGTTGGAAAGTATTTTCAGACCAAATAAATACCAGACTGTTAATAACAGAGAATAATACCAGAATGTTAAATTTTCAGACTCAAAATGTTAATCTTGTTATGAAAATCGCCAGCCGACAAGAAGCTCAAGCAGAGTAGAGCTAACAGCATATACTATCTCCATCAATTATAATTTATAGTCATTCAGATGCAGGGCTATAGTATAGGTTAAGTACAAAATACAGTGATTCTATCAACGTAGAGGTTCATAGGTCTGTCAAGTTTCATTGAATATATCCAATAGATTAAAAAGTGAAAAGTTCAGAAAATGCAGTACATATATTTATCACATACCTGTTGAATCTTGTTAAAGTAATACAAGCAATTTTCAGACCATGAACTACAACGTTCTGTATTGCACATGTGCAATACATAATGTAGTACTAGCCGGAACTACTTTTTGTGGGAATCCCCTTGTCATGGCGAACTGAAAAGTTCCCGGTATTTGCAAAAAATATCAAAGTTTATAAAATCTTTGTATCGATCTCTACCAAATATGGAAGGTATGTGATAAAAGCAATATATATTCGTCCGCGCAATAAACTTGTGCTTTCTGATTTGTTACAAAAACACAAGTGTGTGGTCTTGCATATTTATTCCCCTGCTGTGATTTATGACTTGACTTAAGGTTGCAGCCCAGAAAGTTGTAGAAATGCTTGGCCAGATTATGACACATGTCCACAAAATTTCTTCAAGTCAATTTCATAGTTTATGAATTTTACATCATGCTTATTTGGTAGGTGAAAAATGGCACACCACAATGTACATCATGTCAAAACAGGTTCACAAACAAGAGACCCAGAGGGCCTGTATTGCTCACCTGTTTCTTTTGTTACATGAAACTGACATATAAGTAACAAGACAAAATTAGGCAACTAGAACACAAGACATTTAACATCTCTTAACTTTATTGCACACCATCCCAGGTACCTACTGGCCAAATATTATGACCCTGGGCCTTATGGAACTTGAGAAGATTATTAAAGCTATTAACCCATGTTGACCTTTGACCCCAGACTAGCACTTAAAGTTGACCTTTGACCTCAATACTGTAAATAAGAAAAGGATTTGCACTGCTTGTCTACATAACATACCCAAGTATCATGACTCTAGTCCAATGGTTCTGAGGATATTGTTGTTTGAAGTTTTTAACATATTTGACCCCTGTGACCTTGAAAGTAGGTCAAGGTCATTTTAATGAGAAATTTATAGCAATCCCAGGTACCTACTGTCCTAATATGATGACACTAGGTCCTCCAGTTCTTCAGAAGAAGTCGTTCAAAAGAAAAAGTTGATGGACGCAGGGATGCCGCAGTACGGCATAAGCTCACATGGGCCATGGGAGCTAAAAACGACTAAACAAAACTGTCTCAAAAAATATACAGTGTTTTATTGAGATGGAGATCAGATACAAACACAGTACACTTTGGTAACAATCTACCAACACAGAAACAGATCTGTGATCAGTATAGCCCTAACTCGCATCAAATACCCAACGGTAATTACTGTGACCATAACAACCAGGTAATCATAAACCTGAGTATTCACTATACTCTAACATTCTGAAACATGACCATGAGGATCTCAAGGTTTCTGTATATTACAAAGGAGTCTGGGGCGACGGTACACTTTGATAGTTCAGGATGATTACATCCAGAAGCACTTTCATTCTATTTGATTATACGGCTGTGGATACACTTAAGCAGATATGTTACCTTTGTTATAATGCACCTCGTATCAAAAAGAGTTCCAAAACGGGAAAACGATGTTATACAGGACAAACTTGATTCTGATGTTACAGTATTGCCAGTTGCCACCGGGAAGGCGGCACTACCACTTGATTATGTCCCTTAAGTCACACAAGTTGAGCATGTGCTGTTGGCTAAGAAGTTTCGCCCGACTGGAGAGACAGGCAAAAGGATACACAATGTCACTTGAGTTGGCCATATTGTGTGTATGCCTCCTCGCTTGAATGTAGCGCAAACCCGGCACGAGCAGCACATCAGAATCAAGTTTGCCCCAAGTGTTAATATCTACAGTTAAACCTTGATATAATGCCCCTTGTTTTGTTTGATCGTTTTCCATTGTCCCTTTTATTACAATTCTCTTTCCCCTTTATAATGCCAAAATTTCTCTGGACAAACAGCGGCAGTATAATGAGGTTATACTGTATTATGAATAGTAAGCTAAAACAGAATTTGAAACGTGCAGTAAAACCTTGTTACACTAAAGCTGCCGACATTTTTCCAGTGAAAAGTAGGTTTTACGATCCAATGAGGAGGTTTATTGATGAATTATTACGAAATTAAAGGAGAACAAGGAATCCTTGAGATGTGTTGATGATAAGCAAGGTGGCATATCAAATGGTTTTATATTGAACTACACTCTATATATCCACACAACAATAATATAATTGTATTAAATGGTTTTTAAAGGGAATTCTCTCTTAATACAAGTTTCTAATTAAAATTTTAATATTTGAAGTGTACAATATTTGCTCATAAGTGACTTCAATTATCTATAACACAATACAGGCTACACACTTGTTTAAATGTTGATCTCCATCAAACTTAACAGATAACAACAGTCACAACATACATATATCTATTCTTTATCAGTTGTGTCTCAAAATCACCATTATATTGCATACAATACCTATCGGATATCTATAAAAGACCTATGTATATGTATACAATAATACTCTCTATTAAAATCCAGCAAGATGTAGAAAGCTCTTCTTATGGCTACCGTGAAAACCTAATGGGTCGACACATGAGATATGCCCGTGTGTAAGTAGAGGAGTAAATAAGATGTTTGTTCCTGTAAAAACCACAATATATGCATACATTTTCATGTAAATCAATCAATTTTCGTCAATACCTTTTATCGATTGTTCCTTCAGCAATCTATTCTGGAGGAGTGTATGAATTCACCAAAGAAGTATCAACTGTTATATATAATCCTGTGTGATTAACCTTATTCAAACTTTCTGAATTTGCAATGAGTTTCCCTCAAAACTTAACACAGATATATATCGTATAATATCAGTAAATAACAGTGTTTTATCCTACAAAGTCATAGCAATGGTATTATCAAACTGTTATTGCATTCTCTATTACGAAAAAAGTTCACCATATTTCCACTTCGCCCTCTGTATCAAGTTTTCAAGAACACAAGTGTTTGCTAATTAAAAAAAATGTACATTGAAGTCAGTGTATAGTTAGTGATACTTTTGATTTTAACATCTGATAACCAATGTTTTACATTGACTGCTGGATGGACTGTGGTTTCCAGTTCTACATGATTTCCCATACACAGGTATACAGCACTTATATCTTGGTACACAATCAATTTAACAAGCATAAAAATTCTTTCTGTCGACACATTAAACACTTATAAGCACACAAAGATCTTTCTTTCTTCAGAAACATTAAAAATCAGTCTCCTTGAGTCATAGAACGTAGAAATTCTTCTTCCTGATAAAGCATCACTTACGAAAACATCAACCAGTCTTTTCCTGGCGTCGAGAATGTTTTCACTGAACCGTTTCTATCACTATTCACAAACTTCCTCATGTATCGTAATCATCATCTTCCTGTGTAACGGGGACTGCAGGCATGAAAGAAGCCAGGGAGGCTAAATTCCCTGTTGCACCCAACATGGCAGAGGTGCCCGGCACAGCTTTAAAAGGGTGAAGTCCTGAGGGGGGTAGAGAGGGGGGATCCCTCACAGACGTCCCCACAGGGGACAAATTAGGGGGCATATGAGGGAAACTTTGTCCTTGTTCTCTACTCACACTTTGACCTTGATCACTTGTATTCAAATTGTTTGGCTCTTCTTTTGTGCATAGATTAATGGGTTGTGCTCTGGAAAACAAGATGATATACATGTACAGTGTAGAACAAAACAAGATGATATACATGTACAGTGTAGAACAAAACAAGATGATATAAATGTACAGCGTAGAACAAAACAAGATGATATACATGTACAGTGTAGAACAAAACAAGATGATATACATGTACAGTGTAGAACAAAACAAGATGATATACATGTACAGTGTAAATAAGTTGATAGGTTGAGTGTATGTCCTGGAATACAAAATGATATATATTTTTTTTGCTCTGGAATACAAAATTATAAAAAATTCAATGACAACTAGAATTTTAATCTCAAACATAAAACTAAGATATCTGACCTTTCACATCGATCTATGATAATTTCCAGATGGGAACAGAGAGATGCCAGAGGATGTCTAGTCCATAAATAATGACAATCGGGACGTTGGTGACCACCATCATAACACTCTTATCTTTTGGATTGAAAACCATGTCAACAGTGCGTCTTCCAGTACCATACTGCAGTGTTTGTCATTATCCTTTCAAAGGGAGGTTGTTGTTTGACCTTTTTACTAATAGTAATTTAGGTGTCAAAACTAGAGGGGAGATTTGTGGCTATCATATTTTCCTTCTGAATGAGCAGCTTGAAGCTCAAACTGAAATATGCAAAACTAGGAAACATGCTTTTGAAATTTTAGAAAAATATGTAAATCACTTGATGTGAAAAAGGGATACTGGGTCAACAATCAAATTCAAGATGTCTGCTTGGTGACCATCTTTTAATACAATCAATCTAAAACTGAAACATGTATAACCGATTGAGAACCAAGGCAAACTTTCAAATTCCAAGAAAAACGCCTGGCAGCCATCTTAATTGTGATCTGTAAAAGTCATGACTTCCCTCACATTATCTATACAGACAATTAAGACTTCCCTCACAAAGTCTATACAGACAATTAAGACTTGCCTCACATTATCTATACAGACAATTAAGACTTGCCTCACAAAGTCTATACAGACAATTAAGACTTCCCTCACATTATCTATAGACAATTAAGACTTCCCTCACAAAGTCTATACAGACCACCGTGACAAAATCTTCGAAATTTGAAAAAGCTCTATCTAGTTCTTCCCAAGAAATATTGATAAGATACTTTCAATGCCAAATTCCTTCAAATCACTTTTAAAATGGAACATGCAAAAAGACCAAGATCAACCAAAGTATGAAAATTGAGAAAAAACTGTTTAGTATTTCTTTTGTAACAGTGATAACAAACTTCAACTGCCAAAATCCCAGTGATAACAAACTTCAACTGCCAAAATCCAAGATGGCTGCCTGGCAACCACCTTTTTCTTCTGATCAGTCTACAAATGCAATGAAACCTGCATTTATAAATTGAGAAAGATCTGTCCCATACTTCAGATTTCAAAAGAATTGTTCAAAGATTTAACATAGATGAAAGATGCTGACATGTGTACTTAATTTACAAACTTAAATGTCCGAGTCAATATTCTGGTGATTTGAACCATAGCCTGGTAAATAGTGATAGATAGTCGCCAGCTAGTCCGGCAATGTCATTGGCTGAGAAAATTGAGAATCTGTCCCATATTTCATATTTCAAAAGAATTGTTCAAAGATTTAACATAGATGAAAGATGCTGACATGTGTACTTAATTTACAAACTTACATGTCTGAGTCAATATTCTGGTGATTTGAACCATAGCCTGGTAAATAGGGATAGGGAGTCGCCAGCTGGTTCGGCAATGCCATTGGCTGAGAAGGCGATGTCGGCAGACCGGCGGGATGGGGCGTCACCTTGGATGTTGATGCCTCGTACAGATGTGTGGGGTCATTGTTACATTCCTCATCAGTCTCCGTACTCTCATCATCCTCTTCCTCTTCCTGACGACACAAGGACATGTATATCAAACAAAATAACCTAACCTTAGACCTTAGAAAAGTTATTACAAATGCATTACAGCTGTTCTACATTTTTATTACCACATTTACTACTTGTAAAATTTGCCAGCTGTTTTTCGTTCTGAGCCTCAGGCAATGATTATATCTAACAAGGTAACCCCAAAGTGGCACATGATACATTGTCACACACTGAATGAACAGTTGTTTCTATCCTTGAAATATATGCATTTGTGAGTAATTGATGTAAGGGGGGGGGGGGGGATATTTCAACATACCTGGTAGATCTATGAGTGCAATAAAACATCATCGAATGCATGCATTTAGTACATGTAGTATTGCATTAATGAAGCCAAGGGGAATAAGTCCAACTAGTTAATTAAGTACAGATAATTGTGATTACAATCACTTCACTGGTTAAGGGGGCATAACTCCATAAATTACAGATCGACAATGGCGGTTATTGATCTCATCCAAGCTTTCACAGCAATTAACCTTCCCATGACGTTGAAAATTACTTGAGATATCAAACAGACACTGGTGGCCTGCTTTTAAGAATACATTCTTTAGTGATTCTGTATGACAAATCGATGGGATATCCTCTAAACGCGTGAACATTTTTATACTTACAGCTTCAGAACTTTCCGATGAGGTCTTCTTCTTTCTTCGTTTTGAATTTTTATCTTTTTCTTTTCTTTGTCTACAATTATATAATATAAAAATTTGTCATAATGTACCTAGTTCCTGCATAATAATTACCCTCATAACTGTCCGTCTTGTAACAACAACTTGTAACTCTTGTCCTTTAAAACAATAATTCAATCAACAATAGTAACAATGACAAATCAATCTTTCAAAGGAACACATTTTTATAAAAAAAAAAAATCCTGTAATAATTCTTCCTAAATGATTTTAATGATCATATTTAAAGTTGAGCTGGCATCTCCGAACAAATATGTGCAAAAATACTTGGAAATATGATTATGATTAATACCTCGGAGCGTAACTTCTCTTATGGTTGGTGGAAGGTTCTGTTTCATCCTCAGCTTGATGGTCAGGAACCGTGACAACGAGGTCTCGTAAAAAGTCAAATTTTCTTTCTGAATGAATTGTTTGTTTTCTTAAAGAAGAAAAAAAATAATCAGGACAAAACGTGAAAAAGTGAACATTCGTACATTTTGTATGTTTATTGCAACATTTTTTCCTTTAAATTGCAGGCAACGACATTAGCAAGTGCATTTAGTTTTTGTTTATTTCGTAACTAATTTACCCCTACATATATATCTAAACTGGACTTGCCCAGTCATTGATTTGGTAAGGTTCAAATGTTACTTTAGGGGTGAAAAAGTTAAATCACGTAATAATCATAATTAAACAAAACATACATTTGTACTTCCAATAAAGAAGCTCTAATTGGATTTTGAATAAAAAGCATCAGAATTTAAGTATTAAAAAGTGAAACACTGTCAGAAAATCAGTCAGCATTCCTGGACTTACATATGTGTTGCAGTCAGTGTTTTGGCATTCTTGGACTGAGTAGTTTCACTGGTTTTCCTAATCAACGATTCTATGAAAAGCTCCAATGCTCTGGCTGAAGTATTGTTAAGGAAAACATGTCTGAACAAGAAAAATGTTGTATAAGTTGTTTACTTTAAGTTACCCAGCACCTAATATCTTCAAGTTACATACGAGTAAATTGGACTGAAACAGTTTTTTTGTTAAATATTTCCAGAATGAAGCATGTTGGTTCGGAATATAGAAAAAATAGTGAGTGTGTGTAATAGTGCATACATGTAAAACATAGTACTGAAAATTGATGAAATTTATTAATTCTATATATTAATTATTATCTAAAAGACTGAAACATCTATATTTACGAAAAATTATATTTAGATTTAGAATTTTCATCTCACACAAAATGAAATTACAATAAAAAGAAATTTTGCAAATATTTTGGGATAAGAGCAGTTTTTCATAGAGAATGGAGCTGATTTTTTTTAAAAATTGAATTATTAAATTTGTGTTTGAAACTTTATAATGTATGTGTGTCCAAAGTGAGTCACTCCATTGAGCACAGCTGTGAAGAAAATCCATTTATTTTTTATTAATAATTCATCTTACATATCTTTAAACAGTTTCTAAAAAAAAAAAAAAAAAAAATTGACTGATATTGCTAGATTGAGTGACATAAGACCACATTTGCATATGGCATTCAGTTTCACTTTCCAAGAATCAATATTCTTGATCATAAATTATGTTTGTATAGTTTATATGAACTATCGTTATGGGACTCTCTTCGCTGCTCTTATCTTGGAAACTACAGTTAAATACAGCGTTACTTAGAAGCTTTACATGTTACGTGATGCAATATCCGGGCACCTATTTCCACCTGTCACTTAGCATGCCATTAAGTCGGTTATCTAGGCCCTTCATTTGTGCAGCATTTCTGCCGCAGAGGTAGGCAACTTCGTGTAGCTGTCATAGTTTGACATTAAGGTTATTATCTTTCTTTGTTCAATTTGTTAGAAATATACATACTATCTTGTTCATAAATATTTATCTGAATTTTGAAACACCTTGTTGATTTATTGAATCGATTGTCAGCAGTGTTACCACAACATCTAGTACACAAACCTGTAGTGAAAACAGGTTTGTATTATAACAAAGGGGCAAATCTCGAGGACTGAGGTGGAAGTTTCTGACCGATTTTAATTACCAAAAAGCTATGCAATCATCACACATATTTAATAGAATGACAACTAATGAATCATCCACTCTCACCTTCCCTTTCACACAAATATAACAGAAGGAAGGATACAAATGATGACAGGGACAGCAGCTGCAACTTTTCCAACATCCTCATCTGTCTGCATGATCTTCTTAACTCTCGCCTGCAACATTGTAGAATAAGGCTGGTCCACATAAGAAATTACGTAATTGATCATGAGTAATTTGGAATGGGTTCACTTGATAGTTTATGTAAAATTTGCATACGTAATTAATACTTCCATTTTGATATCTTTTAATCATCAAAGAACGCAGGAACAGTAAAATAATCTACATTTGTGGTACAAGCCGATACGATACAAGTTTTACGTTTGCTTATGGTTTTTGTTGACATGAAAATCAAGGACAGACTTGTCAGACGGCAAGCTGTATCCTATAATCAGTCAAAAACATGTTTTTTTCTTAAAATAATTTGATAAACAATCTTACCGGAGGAAATCGTGCATTGTACTTCTTCTTCTTACTTGGCATGGTGAAATTGGAACTAAAATTAAGCCTTAGAAACTAGTTTTTGCTAGTTTTCACTTTATGAATGAAAAAGCCGCTTGGAGAAATTTCGGAACCGGAAATAATTCTGATGCTACTTTTCACGCGATATTATTTTTGATTCAACAATCACAAAAAAGGTTCCTGATAAAATACACTCCAAACGTCTTCCAATGATAATATTTTTATATCAATTCATACAAATACATATTTTTAGAAGTATTTTCGTTTGTTTACTTTGGTAGATATGTTTCAGAAACACGATGAAAAACAAAGGAAATAAATTTGATTCACTTCATGAACTATTTACACGCATTGTGCAGAACTTCCGGGAGTAAACAACATGTCGGAAATGTATATTTTTGAGAAGTTATAAATGAAAGATACGTCTAAAATCCACGATGAACGCCCTTAGAAAACTGCCTTGATTGTATTCTGGATCTGTATTATATATTTGTAAGTATGAAACATGCAGTTACTAAAACTCTGCATTCCTTTTCGTTGTACAATAATCACCAAAAATAGATTTTTCATGTTTGAAATTCTTTAAATATTTCACAATTGTCAGTAGGCCTAGTCATTTTATAACGACATTTGTATATCTTTAATATATTCCTTAGTTTGATCAATTTCAGTATATATTCATTTGTAATTGGTATCACACTAAATTATGCTAGAGGATCAAATTTCACGTATAAAAAAATTAGTACATTGTAGGTCAAAAATGTACTGTCAAATTATAACTTATTAGAGAATATTATTTAGTGAACATCGCATACCATATACATACAAACATTGGCTCGATAGAGCTATTTCTGCGACAAACATATGTATAATTTAAAAAAAACAAAAAAAACAACCATGGCATGCATTATAAAAATTCAGATAAAATATAGGTGAGCTAAATAAAAACAAACTTTTAGTTATATTAGATCAGTTGGTGTTAATTTAATTAAGCATTGAACTGTTTTTGTATGGTATTTATGATCTATTTGAATGGCACATAGCGCGCATTATGATTTGTTTGCTTGCAAAGCTGTGTCATTCAAATGCCTTATCGCGATCGACAGTCCACAACATTTTGTTCAATAGTTTGGACAGCGTGTTTGTCGCGTGCTAATTGGCAAACAAAGTATTACTTTGAAATTTTAACAAACACTTCAATGTTATTCCACAATTCAGTATAAATACAATTGCGTATGATATGTCTATAGGGTGATTTAAGTTTATCAATAGAACTCTGAGCTGAAAGTTAGATTTGAAATTGTTTCGATTTTCCCCCGGAACAAATTTCGCGCATGGACAAATACAATGTATTTAACACCGTAAATCCGTCCTTGCCCTCCACGAGGGAGTTATTTTTGGAATTTAATTCAAACTTTTCTCTTTGCTCATTTTGTGAAGAATACAGGGATGAATTTATTTGTTGATTGTATGGGAACCTGACAAGAGTCGGTAGATTCTATAACATCCTCATTATTTGACATGTCGACAGAAACGGAGGAACCGTGGATGCGAGACGCGTGAAACTGATAGCCTTTGAAGAGAGTGATCTTGCGACGGAGCACAGGTTCATTAGAAATGTCTGAAATGTTTAGGTGTGCTGTGACTCAGATCAGTAGGTCTGTAACATATGTGTCAGTAGGTCTACAGAATATGTGTATTTCAGACATTTGTAACGAACCCCTGTTGATCAGTGCAGTGTAACAGACGATATTTCTGATAAATTGCATGAGCGTTAAAATTGTTTCCATTGCCGGCATTGGTGATTTCAACCGATGTGCATTTTGTACGATTTTGCAGACCTTGGTCTTGTTTTCGTTGTAATGAAAGTGTTTTTTATTTTATTTTTTTATTTTGCACATTAATTTACAATGACATTGTCAAATCTCACAATGCCCAGCGATATTTCAGCAGCCGTCATGTTTATTTATATTGGATATTGTAGTTCCGGTCAGTGTTGTATTAATATGCTAAGAATTGTGTCTCGTGATGCATGGTAATTAAAGTCCCATCAACGACACAGCTTTCAAAGAGGCTATATAGTGACAATGCCATGCAAATGTAAATATCACTATATACAGGCTCCGTGGAAAATTGCACTCCCTTTATCAGGATTTCTCTATGTTACACATATATTAATTGTGTCTTATAATTACGTACCAATTAATAGATGAATTATTATGGAGATTATATATATAAGCCCAAGTTTCCTCTGAGTTTTGAGTTGCTGACAATAAAAATCAGCTATGACACCACATATACCTCACATTATATCATTAATGGAATATTTATTTATTAAAATTAAAACTGTATATCCTTATTATCACCAACAACTGCTAAATTCCAGTAGAGTCCTCATGATCTGAGTGAGTGTTCAATAGTTCAAAATTTCTCACCGGAACAATGCCATTTTGAAGGTTATGTAATTATATAATAAAAAAAACATGGGAGTCACTTATCAACAGAAAAAATCCAGAATTCTTCTAAATAGAAAAATGTATTCTGTTTCGGTTCGGATCAGTACAGTTTGTTGTTGAGTCTGTTTTATATATAGTAGTGTGCTCTGGCACCACACCAGACATCTATCTGTCAAAATGTCTGGTGTCAGGGCCAGAGGAAACCCGCGCAAGGAGATATGTAACCTTAAAATACTGGCACCATCCATATCTGTCCATATGTAAAGGATATGCATTTTGTACATGGTGTCAAAGTTGCCTTATATTACTAGCTTCAGCTTATGGACATTTTTCTTTAGAGCTATATATATTTAATTATAAGTGGAAGAGAATTCAACGAGAAAGTCTGGGATTGGGTTTCTATCCCAGGCAAATGCACCTTTATAATTTTCTCTGTTTCCTCAGGTTGTCTTCAAGGGTACTGGCGTATGCGTAGACCTTTGCAAAAAGGGAGAAGTTTTCATCAAATAAATGGTGTGCATTAATATTGTATTGTACAGAGTGTCAGCTGTCACCTTATAACATTACTATCTTTAGCTAGAGAAAATTTTACTTTTGTTCCGCGGTAAAGAATCCAAATAGAAAGTCTGGGATCTTTGGTTTGATTTACAGCAAACACATATGTACACTATACTTTTTCATTGCTTCCTTCTTAATGCAAACTGGTGCCATTGATGATTCCTATTCAATGCTTAAGTAGTTAAAAACCTTGGCGGGAGCAAAAAAAACTTGACTGTGAGAGGGGAGCATTGTAAGGATATGCATTGTACATTGTGTCTAACAGAAGTCACCATACTAGGTTTGGCTAAAAGGAATTTCTCTTAAGCTCTTAACAGTTATGTGTGTTTGACTAGAAAGTCTGGGATCGTGGGTTTTAATTATATAATAAAAACTGGTTCTGTCGACAATCTCTGTTCATAGAAGACAAGTACAGATCCCTTGGCAGGGAGCAAAAGAACCTGGGTTGTGGTGGTCTTTAAGGCCAAAGACTTAGAAAAAGATGGGACTAGTGTTATACTTATTTCTTTGGCTAAATAGAATTTTCCTTAAGCTCAGGAGTAATGTGATTGACTAGAACGTCTGGGAGTGTGGGGTAAATTCCCAGCAAACACACACATTCTTTTTACTACCTCCCTCCTATTAAAATATGATCAAGTTTGTCTTTAAATACAGGAGTTTGATGATATATCAATTAACTATAGTAGATTGGTTTGGATGAAAAAATATGTACCCTCTATACTGTAACAAAACCCCACCAGGACTGAAATGTTAATGCATACTTACCAAAAACAAATCACCAAAGTTGCTGCAGCAATTATTTTTAAGCATGCCTACTTATATAACCACACACATGAAATAAATATAATAACCCATTTATAATGTCTATAAACAAAAACCTGTCTAAAACTGCATAAAAAATGTTCCTAATAATCCAAAAATACTTTGAAAGTAGAAACTGCAGTGATAAACCAATAATTCATTGGACTAACATTTTTGGGTGTACATGTAGTGGCCATGGGAAAGGATCAATGAAAATAAAAATTATATAATTATTGCTGGTAATCTGAAAACTGTTTCTGTAATAATTCTATGGATTTATTACTTACCGTATAATATAACACCCTAATCAAGAATTTCACCTAAAAGTTGACTGTATATATACAGTTCATGATGTCCAGTTAAATGTCTCATACCCGAAACAGTCCTGGGGGAAAATATCACATGTTTTTTATTGTTTGAACATTTTGATACAACCTTGTAATTGCAAATACCAACAATAGAAAAAAATCAATGTGGAATGTTTTGGTATCTGTATGATCTCAGCAGAAAACTTCATTAAGCATTGAACTGCTTTCAGATTGCAAGCAATTGATTATCAATTCCAAATCTATTACCAGGAAATTGCGTTGGTTAAAATATATTCTGAGCAGCGAACGCTTAACTTGCTGTAAGGCCAAAGATAAAAATTCTTGTTTCTTCTTTTCCTTCCTGCTGTACACTTTAGTGCCTAACCTAGTCTTTTTCAGTAATCTTAAATATTAAGTACTTTTACATGTAAATTTAGAAATATCGTTGCTATACAACATGTAAAAATCATTTTATGTTTTGCCTTCCTATGCTATCTATCGATCCCAAACTTTTGAGAGCCAAGATTAAAGAAGAATCACAACAATTGTTTTGTTTGGCCTTGTTACATTTCACCCACTCAACTGGTATGCACCTTCACATTTAATGCAAAAACAAATAAACCTAATCTCTATAGTGTATCCTTTTGATGCCTATAGATAATGTATTTCAAAGAGTGACGTTTATCACTGCTACAGCTGTTACCAATTATTGGTCCAATATATACACTTTATATGGATATATGAAAGTACTGGGTAAGGTATCGATATCAGTTGATTAGAAATTTATTGGCATACCATAGTTATGTTAACTGGGGCACCAGGCTGGCATACATTTGTAGCTACCATACAAGCAAACACGCTGTTGCAATTTGCATCATGCACATCAAAAATCCTCAAATGAACTATATATTTTGTATTTATTTGATTTTTGTGTGGCCCAAAATAGTAATTTAAAGCTTTTATGGTTTTAAAATATTGAATTTGGCTGTTCTCATGATATGGGCCGTAGGGCTAACTGCCCTAGCTAGGTTGCTAGATGATGAACTTTGCATGCACATTGTTTAGAGTCTGGGCACTGGAGAAGGGGATGCTTCTTACTTATACATTATATTAACATAAGCTCCCGGGTATATGTAATGTAATTAGTGTTCTGTAATGTGTTTTCGTGTGATATAGTGGATTGCTGAGAAAATTTTACAACCTCATATTGACTTTTGTCTACACTATTGGAACTACTTCCTTGCCCCATATAATCTAGTTACATATATATATATATATACTGCAGTAACTGTACATATATGTAATTGTAACATGTATGCATTGTTTGAAATACTGTAAACCAAAAAATCAATGCCCACATTTTATTTCCAAGAAATGGTTGAATTCAAGATTTATCCCAGTTGGATGAAAATTGATATACTTTTATTTATGTAAGTTTAAATACAATGGGCTGTGGGAATTCATTTTAAAAGGTCAAAAGGTTAAAATGTGTTTGTATAGTTTACAGTATAAAGTGAGCTCCTTTCATTGCTCATGTTGAATTGTACATGTTAAAATCATTGATAAAGATAATAATTGTCGTCTCAAAGCAGTTCACAAATTATTATCTGTGGTTATATAGGGCCTTTGCCACCAGCAAATATCTTTCTCAACTCCCTAGGGAGTATATAGTTGGTACTGCCATTTAGGCTCTCACATCTAGCATTCAACAATTCCAGCACTGCCCACATACCACATACTCATTTACAGCTGAGTAGACTGGAACAAGCGAGTGCTGTGACGTGACTTGAACCCGCAACCCTTCGGTCATGAGCCCGCCATACATCCTACCACTAGACTACCGTGATTCCTAGGCTAGAATTACCCACAAATGTTTATATACACAAAACTACTACATGTTTAGTAATCAAAACAAGTTTTGAGTAGTGGTACAGAAAAATGGTTTTGGTCTTTTTTTTTTACGATTTGCGACACTAAAAATTAGTTATTGTCTTGTTTATAGCTTGACATTTTCTTCCAGTGTTTCCAGTACTAATAGAGCTTGCATACATCCACGTAGACGAGGATGTGTGACCACCACCAGCTGCGGACCCCGACCCCCGCTGGAATCGTGGACCATGTCGGATCCCTGTCGGACAATCTCGGGGAACTGGTGGACAGCTCCGAGTACAGTGACCTCACACTGATCGTGGAGGGAACAAGCTTCCCATCACATAAGGCGATTCTGGCTGCTAGATCTATGTACTTCAGGTATGTATGTCTGAGGCTGTAGATATAAGAAAATTGTTAACAGAAAACCCAGATCTATTTGAGTCCTAGATGTGTCTGTTTTTGACTGGGGCTGTATCTAAACTGTTTTCTTTGCTTAACCCTTTCACCCCTATGTAACTTAAATAAACTTGACCATACATTGATTTGGATGAGTCCATTATGGTCTACAGTGTTGAAAGAGTTAATTAAATATGACTTTTTCTATGGACTTTCATTCATTTTCTGAATTCTTGACTGTAACTCTCGAAAAAAGTTCCTGCAAAAATCTGTGAGGATTTCTATATGTAATATTGGTTTAGATGAAAAACAACTAGATAATAGAAAAGTGTGAACAAAATATTAATTCAAATTCAGAATTGATAAAACTAGGGCAAAATATGAATGGAGTTGTACATGCAGAGCTCTTAAAAAAGTACCAGAGGACTTAGACCAGGTGTTCTAGGACAGGTGTTCTAGCTAGGAGGTTCAGAATCTTCCTGTTCATTGACAACAATGTCAATCAAGGTCAAATCCAAGTAATGTCAATGTGCAGAAAGACAGAACTAGGTTAGTGATTACAAAACAAGGCAGACAGATACAAATTGTGAAAAACATCAGTTTTCATAATGTACAGGGAAATAAAGTATACACATGCTCATATAAATAATTTATTTTGCAGGTGTTAATCCAATTTCATGGCTTTCATTTCAATATCAAGGCACTGACCTCTATCTGTCAACTTGTAGTGCGCTATCTTAGTGAAACAAAGAGAGTATGAAGGGGAAATCATTTACAAGTAAAATATACTCATTACATACCTCCTAGGCAACAGTGTGTTTAGAATAATTACACTTTATATGTCTGACTTTGGTATGTTTCAGGGCGATGCTGTTTGGAGGGATGAAGGAATCGTTACCTGGAACTACGGAGATTGAACTGAAGGATATGTCTGCTACGGCGTTTTCTTACTTACTGAGATACATGTATACCAGTCGAATCAACCTGCTGGACATCAAGGTAATGGTCGGGGGTCAAGTACACATGGTCAAGTGCAATTGGTCAAGTTTAAGTGGTCCAGTGCAAGTGGTCAAGCATTTTTTTCTGGACTCATGGAAAAGATATATACATGCATGATGGGTGTTTATTTGAAAAATTGAGGTAACATGAGGGCATTTATTAGAATAGATACAAGTATGTGCCCGGGCTGGGGGCATAAATTGGAATATATGCATGCTAAAAGACATATATATGAAAGTTTTTTTATTAAATATATAATCATGATGGGTTTTCATTTGAATAAATTAAAGATACTTAATAGATTTTTTTAGAATAGATATACTATTGCAGTATATCGGAGGGCCGGGCATTGCAATAAATTTGAGGATACACAAGGGGCAAAAATATGTATTGGTAAACACACAATACCAGGATACCTGAGGGGGGTGTGTTGTAACAGTTACAAGCAAACATGGGGGCATTTATTAGAATATATACATATATACCAGATAAACCAGTTGCACTTTGGAATAAATACCTGTCCAAGCATACACGAGGGGGTCTTTATTGGAATGACATACAGTCTACATGAGAGGGTGTTTATTGATATAGATATATATACTAGCCTACATAAGCTTACATGAAGCTTAAAGGGACCTTTATTGGAATAAATATAAGCCTAAGTGAATGGACTTTATTGGAATAAATATAAGCCTAAGTGAATGGACCTTTATTGGAATAAATATAAGCCTACTTAAAGGGTTGTTTATTGATATAAATAAAAACCTACATGAAGGGGCCTTTATTGGAATAGATACGAGCAATAGGATGAAAATCAATTGTAATAGATAGGAATATGTGTGAAGTGGCATGGGGTTCACTGTAACAGACACTGGGACTGGGGTGGTAATTAGAATCACAATAAAATTTGAGGGGTGCTTATTGATCTATAATTATATAATTATGCCTAGTTTTCAAAGAACATATTTCATTTCTTTGGTATGTTGGTGATCAGGAAACTAACTGCATATAAGGCCAAACCAAAATACACGTTTGTTTCCTGTCACATATTTGAAAAATGATAGCCTAGGTAGGTCGGAAACAAATTTTATTTTTCAAACTGTCTTTGTATTGTTTACCTAGGATGGTGATCTTGACATTTTAGTGCTTCCTTGAAATTTGCCAAAAAAGGTTGGGGTAGGCACAAAATATTAGGGTAGGAAAGGGTAGGTAATTGGAAACATACAATATATTTAATTCGCCCTTACTTACATACAGTTATACCGTATTAAGTCTTGTTAGCTTACAAGGTGTACATTTATTAGGTTAATTTTAGAGGTTAAGAATTCAATGTCTGACATGATAGAGATTTCCTGTCTTTGGTATGTAGGTGATCAAGAAGTTAACCAACATACTTTTGTATTAAGTCTTGCTTACTTATGTCAACGAGGTATATTTTAAAGATGAATAGTTCACTGTCAGAGGAGATAGAAATTTCTTCTCTTTGGTATGGAGATGACTAGGACATTAACCAAAGTTTACATAGTTTTATTAAGCCTTGTCAACTTAAATACAAAAACATAAATTTTGAACCTATGAAAATTTAATAGTTATGAACATTAAAATAAAATAATCACATCTATGCATTCAATATAATTTATGACTAAATACACAAATATAATAAAAAAAATTGAAAAGAACTTTTCAAAAAAACCAAAAAAAACCTTTTACATATTTTGTAGCATTAAGCTGATAAAACTAGTTTTATAGAAGTCTACTATTCTGTTCAGTGATAGCTCTCAAGGCTTCCTCATCAACTTTAGTTTAACAGCTTCACATCACAGAAAGCTAACAAGAAAGGATGTGACATTTACGATAAACAATCTTGTAATGCTAACATAATAAACATCATTGTGTAGTTTTAAAATTTGTCATTTACTTGTAGCAGTTTGATTAAAGCCATATGTTGCCAAGTTGTGTACCTCGTATATGTCATTTAGTCTCCAGGTCTCTTCTCATAAGAAACTAATGAAAGTTTTTCAGTAAAGAATACTTTTACAAAAAAAATCACACCTTTTTGACAAGGGGCTTTTTTTAATGCAAGATACAAGATGGAATTTGAAATAAAAATGTACTTTCAAATTTCAGGAGGAGGTTCTCTTGGATATTTTAGCCATGTCTCATCGATATGGTTTCTTGGAACTCGAAGGTTCCATTTCGGAATATTTAAAGGCCATTCTGAATAAGACCAATGTGTGCATGATCTACGACTTGGCCAATGTATACAGTCTGACGTCACTGTGCAACGTGTGCAAGGAATTCATTGACAGAAACGCACAGGACATTCTACAGAGCGAGGCCTTTCAATCTCTTTCACAGGTAATAACATAGGTTTTCCAGTTTCCTACTTTCTGAAATCTGGACCATTGTTTTAAATTTGGAATATGAAACAAACCTTTAATGGAACTTTTTTAGTCTCAAAGATTTTTACCATTTTAATTTCTAAGATATAAATTTTATATAGTAAACAAGTAGCATTTTTAAAATCAATTTCTAAATATAATGTGAGGAGAGAGAGTTATTTCGTTTTTGCGTATTGCAGAGTTATCTGCTCTTTTGAGCAGGTATTGATTGTTACGTCATTTGTTTGTGAGAGTAATGTCATCAATTTTTGAGAAAACGACGTAATTTTCTCACACAAACCAATGACGTTACAATCAATACCTGCTCACAAGAGAAGATATCTCTGCAATACGCAAAGACGGAATTGAGAGTTCAGAAACTGATTGATTTTCTGATACTTTGAGAAATTAATTTTGACATTTTTCCTTGAAGTTTTAATATAATCTACCAGGCGACTACTTAGATTTTTATTTTATTTTGTAAATCTTTAGCCATCCAAACCGTTTCAGTCTAAGACTGTTTAAACATCTCTGAATTTTGTTGATCTGTTTTGGATTTAATTTTGGTTTAAAATATCTCAGTTGATAAACAGCATACTGAGAGTTTTTCGACGCAGTTTAACTTGTGCCATTTTCCTCCTCCACAGTGAGGAAGAACATGGGGCGAACATGGGTTTTACCTGTGAAGGGTAAATATTTGACTTGGCAAAAGTTTCCCAGCATACAGTTCGTATATATTTTGATATAACTATTTTAATATTTCAATCTATAATTCCTAGAATTCAATGGTGTTTTCCCCTGTTTTGGCAAAAATTGTCCGAATTGTAATAGCAATTTTAAAAGATTTTCTAGACAAGTTTCTAAATGATGTGGTTATCAAGTGGTTGATATTAATTTACCAGTATACATGTGTGTATATCTCGTGTGATTTCAGTGCTCAGTGACAGACTTAATATCGAGAGACTCATTTTGTGCGCCCGAGATTGACATTTTCAACACTGTGTGTGAGTGGGCAGAGCAGAACGTAGGTCAGGATCCTACACCTATCATCAACGCAGTGCGTCTGCCTCTTATGTCTCTAACTGAACTTCTAAACAGAGTCAGAACCACCAAGCTCGTGTCACCTGACGCTATACTGGACGCTATTAAACTACAGACAGAGTGTCGCGACATGGAACTGGAGTACAGGGGATTTCTTGGTATGTATACTTTTTTGCTGGATTTACATGTACTACTGTATATGGAGAAATATTCACTGCAGTTTAACTTAAGATTTTTTTGTTTGCCCTCTGTAATGAATGTGAATTTATTTGGAATTGTAAGTACAATATGTCTGTTTACCCAACTGCTGTAAATATCTTGATACCTGCCTCCAAGAATTTAATTTCCAAACTATTACAAGTATAGATATAAGATTTACCAGTTTATTTATCTTTACTGTAAATATGCTTAATGACTAAATATTTGCAAAGTATTTGAATTAAGTATTTGAATTAATTCATTGGTATTAATCTTTACTTGGGGATTAACATAGAAAATATTTGTGTATTCATGAATCTTATGAAATCTAACAGTGTTACAGTTATATTAGAACGTCATAATTGCATCTGACTGTTTTGGTCTTTTGTGAGTGCTTCCATTATCAAGTGCATATAAATAAGAAACAGAAAATGTAGCACTGATAAAATGATGCTTCAAATTCAATGCAAAAACATTTACAACATTTTTCTTGTAAAATGATATCATACCTGCAACAAAATTTTAGATTCCATTTGTTTTTTTCCAAATAAAAGATACATTTGGGGACCATTTTGAGGAAAATTTTGGCCCAATTCTCAATGGAAAATATTGCTAATTTTGATTTTGTTTCGACAAAATTTTCCGACAATTTATTTTTGTTTTCAACTGATACTGCAGCATTTAAAAAGAAATATAATATTTCATAAATACATGTCCATAAAGTTAATGATGTTTTAGACATTTTGGCGTACCTCGTTAAAAATATTCAGCTTTTGTATACCGATAATTCTGAAAATTCCTGATTTGGATTGATGTTACTGCAACAGTTTTGCCAATGTTAAAGTTACAAGCCGTATACCTAAAATAGTGATAAAAAACCTTGATACCATGCCAATTTATATGAATTTAAATGAATATCTATTGTGTCAGAGTACTTTCTCCTGGCTTTAGACTCAAATCTCATTCCAAAATATGTCGGGGGGGGGGGGGGGGGGCATATTACATGGCAATAATTTAAAAATCATAAAAAGCCAGCTTGATGAGTTTGTTATTTTTGCATTATCTACTTAATACTGAATTTATTGGATGTTTAAAATCACTAGCCAAAGCTATAGGTCATATCTATCTACAGCCAAAACAGTCAGCTGAAGATTTCATAAGTATTGGAGATCAGGATACTTGGAGAATATTGACTGAATTTGTTGATGAAATTTTCAATTACTTCCCTTTACTTGCTGTAGCTATTATATTCTACTCTTTAGTGCTGGATGATAATGTGTCGTCCAGTCGACATTCAGCCCAGGTGATTCGGGGCGAGATGAAGGCAGCTCTGCTGGATGGAGATTGCCAAAACTATGACCTTGATCGAGGGTTCACGCGACATCCCATTGATGATAACGAGGGTCAGGGTGTGGTCATTCGCCTCAGTCAACCTTTCATTGTCAACGCCTTCAAGTTACTGCTGTGGGATAGAGATATGAGGTTTGTTGTGCTAGAAACTGCCGGACAAGTAGTATGACGCATGTAGTTTCGTAATTGAAATATGAAACTCAGTCAAATGTTAAGTAGAAGCTTGCCTCAGTTAGCTGTCAGCTTATTATCAAGATATTATTGCCAGATCCGAACACTGGCAGAGGTTTCCTTGGTTTGACTCAGGTTTAAATGTTGAATGAACATGTTTAAATATTCATGATTTGTGCTTGAATATGCAACAGTTTTGTTTTAGTATTCACGAAGTGTGTTTGAATATTAATGCGCTATGCATTTGACTTTTAGGTCATACTCCTACTACATAGAAGTGTCGATGGATGACAAGGACTACGAGAGAGTGGTCGACCACTCCAAGTACCTGTGTCGGTCCTGGCAGACCATGCATTTCTCTCCCAAGGTTGTAAGGTACGTATCCACTGCCAATACTGTGCTGAGGCTAATTTTGGTACGTAGAAAAGGTCTAAGATTCTGTACATTGTATCTGGAACTTGATTTTAGAAGAGAGTGATTAAATATCATCCATTAATACATATCTGTTGTTTTTCAGATATATTAGAATTGTTGGAACACACAACACTGTGAATCGTGTTTTCCACATCGTAGCATTTGAGTGTTTCTACACGCAGAAGCCGTTTAAACTGGAGCAGGGATTGATAGGTAATTGATGTAGTCCGGGCCTTTGCGTTTCATTTCTGGTCAGGTCTATAATTGGTGTGAGTTGTATGTTACGGTTTTAGAACAAAGTGAGGAGAATGTGATTCAAAAAACTAAACCTAGTGGTAATGTTCAGCTGTCATTGTAAGAGAAGAGTGATAAAAATCCTGTATATCTCTGACCAATTACAAAATGATATGGTTAATTTGAAAATCCTGGTTATTTTGTAAGGTAGATATATATTACTAATATAATGTCTATCTTTGAGATAAAAATATCATTTTAACTGCCTCTCATTCACTGGCACTGCAATGTTATATAATTTGTGATTTTTAAAAATAGATCTCGAGAGTTTCAAACCCCATAGATGCCAGAAAAGGGGGAAAAATATTTAATTAAAATTGTTTGTTTGTTACAGTCCCTCAGGAGAATGTAGCCACCATTGAGGCGAGTGCCTGCGTGATTGAGGGTGTCAGTCGTAGTAGGAACACGCTCATCAATGGGGACACGCGCAACTACGACTGGGACTCGGGTTACACGTGTCATCAGCTGGGCAGTGGGGCAATCATTGTTCAGCTCGCACAACCCTACATCGTGGACTCAATGAGGTTAGTAATGGTCAGACCCTAATAGAGTCTATCATATATAGGTACCTGGTATGTGTCAGCTCGCACAACCCTACATCGTGGACTCCATGGGGTAAGTAATGGCCAGACCTTAATAGAGTCTATCATATATAGGTACCTGGTATGTGGGATGAAGATACTGTGGCTTTGTCTACTCCCTCAGGTAGAATATCTATTTCTCTTACCCTGGACAGGTGTATCCACACTTTTACCGGTGGCAGATTTCCTTGTCTCTTAATCGGAGCAGGTGTATCCACACTTTTACCGGTGGCAGATTTCCTTGTCGCTTACGCTGGACAGGTGTATCCACACTTTTACCGGTGGCAGATTTCCTTGTCTCTTAGTCGGAGCAGGTGTATCCACACTTTTACCTGTGGCAGGTTGCCTTGTCTCTTACCCTGGACAGGTGTATCTACACTTTTACCAGTGTGAGCTTTCCTTGTCTCACCCTAGGGTTGAGACGGGGGGATTCCCCTATTCATAACAACGGCATGACGTCACTTCAACAATACAATGACGTCACGTAAACAATCCATCACCCTCACGTCAACCCTGAATTTAGCATGTAACGTTATCATTACATTGTGTATATGATACACAATGGGAGAACAGAGTAAGAGAAAAAGAATCATTCACCGCCTTGTGGGTGAGATAGGGGAATCTCAACCCTTGGGAAAGATTCTTAAGTTGGCAAACACTCAGCAAAGCCTTTTGTTTGGCAACTTAAGAATCTTCCCCCTCGGGTTGAGATTCTCCTATATCACCCCCAAGGTGGTGAGAGATTCTATTTATCCCACATACCTGGTACTTATATAATGATGGGCACTTTTTCCCACCTCTTAACTGAAATTTTGATAAAACAGGAGTTAGACAATGGAAATGCAGCACTAAATATTGCAAAATTTCTAGATAACGTACACACAAGCTAAGACCATCTTTGGAAAGAACAGAAAAGGGTATGGTATACCAGTCATGCAAGACATTTATTTAAAGCAAGCTTGTACAACAATTTTCAAGTCCTTGAGGTCTGGTGGTGCCACTCCTTGACTACAGGAAGGCCGCAGTCAGTAAAACAAGGTTATGGTGACTTTTCAATTGTGGCATGAGTAAACGCTGTCATCTAATTGTGAAGTAATAATATTAGAGGTCACTGAGTGTTCCCATGTGGGTGTTCCACATGGGACACATGTATCACACTTGGGTGTTCCACATGGGACACAGATATCACACATGGGTGTTCCACATAGGACACATGTGTCATACATGTGTCCTGTGTGGACCAACCATGTGTCACATGTGTCATACATGTGTTCTAAGTGGAACACCCATGTGTCAAACATGTGTCCTAAGTGGAACGCCCATGTGTCATACATGTGGCCTATGTGGAACACCCATGTGGGATACATGTGACCTATGTGGGACACCCATGTGTGATACATGGGTCCTATGTGGACCACCCATATGTCATACATGTGACCTATGTGGGACACCCATGTGTGATACATGGGTCCTATGTGGACCACCCAAGTGTGATACATCTGTCCTATGTGGACCACCCAAGTGTGATACATGTGACCTATGTGGGACACCCATGTGTGATACATGGGTCCTATGTGGAACACCCAAGTGTGACACATGTGTCCTATGTGGACAAACCATGTGTCATACATGTGCCCTATGTGGAACACGCATGTGTGATACATGTGTCCTAGGTGGAACACCCAAGTGTGATACCTGTGTCCTATGTGGAACACCCGAGTGTGATACATGTGTCCTAGGTGGAACACCCAAGTGTGATACCTGGGTCCTATGTGGAACACCCAATGTGATACATGTGTCCTATGCGGACCACCCATGTGTGATATATGTGTCCTATGTGGACCAACCACGTGTCATACATGTGACCTACGTGGATCACCCATGTGTGATACATGGGTGTTCCACTTAGAACACATGTATGACACATGTGTCCTATGTGGACAAACCATGTGTCATACATGTGCCCTATGTGGAACTCCCGTGTGTCATACTTGTGTCCTATTCGAAAAACCCATGTGTCATCCATGTGTCCTATGTGGACCTCCCATGTGTCATACATGTGGCCTATGTGGAACACCCATGTATCACACATGGGTGTGCAACATAGGACACATGTATGACGCATGGGTGTTCCACATAGGGCACATGTATCACACATGGGCATAGGACACATGTATGACGCATGGGTGTTCCACATAGGACGCATGTATCACACTTGGGGGTTCCACATGGGACACAGATATCACACATGGGTATTCCACATAGGACACATGTACGACACATGGGTGTTCCACTTAAGACACATGTATGACACATGTGTTTTCAACATAGGACACATGTATGAAACATGGGTGGTCCACATAGGTCACATGTATGGCACATGGGTGTTCCACTTAAGACACATGTATGACACATGTGTTTTCAACATAGGACACATGTATGATACATGGGTGTTCCACATAGGTCACGTGTATGACCCATGGGTGGTCCACATAGGTCACATGTATCACACATAGGTGGTCCACATAGGACACATGGATGACACATGGGTTTTTCGAATAGGACACAAGTATGACACACGGGAGTTCCACATAGGGCACATGTATCACACATGGGCATAGGACACATGTATGACGCATGGGTGTTCCACATAGGTGACATGTATCACACATGGGTAGTAAACGCTGTCATCTAATTGTGAAGTAACAATATTAGAGGTCACTGAGTGTTCCCATGTGTGTGTTCCACATGGGACACAGATATCACACATGGGTGTTCCTCATAGGACACATGTATGACGCATGGGTGTTCCACATAGGTGACATGTATCACACATGGGTGGACCACATAGGACACATGTATAACACATGGGTTTTTCACATAGGTCACATGTATGACACATAGGTGGTCCACATAGGACACATATATCACACTTGGGTGTTCCACATAGGGGTGTTCCACATAGGTCACGTGTATGACCCATGGGTGGTCCACATAGGTCACATGTATGGCACATGGGTGGTCCACATACGACACATGTATCACACTTGGGTGTGCCACATAGGACACATGTATGTCACATGTATGACACATGTTTCGTCCTCATAGGACACATGTATGACGCATGGGTGTTCCACATAGGAAAAAGGTATCACACATGGGTGTTCCTCATAGGACACATGTATCACAGTTGGGTGTTCCACATAGGTCACATGTATGACACATGGTTGGTCCACATAGGACACATGTATGACACATGGGTGTTCCACATAGGACACATGTATGACACATGGGTGTTCCACATAGGACACATGTATGACACATGGGTGTTCCACATAGGACACATGTATGACACATGGGTGTTCCACATAGGACACATGTATGACACATGGGTGTTCCACATAGGACACATGTATGACACATGGGTGTTCCACATAGGACACATGTATGACACATGGGTGTTCCACATAGGACACATGTATGACACATGGGTGTTCCACATAGGACACATGTATGACACATGGGTGTTCCACATAGGACACATGTATGACACATGGGTGTTCCACATAGGACACATGTATGACACATGGGTGTTCCACATAGGACACATGTATGACACATGGGTGTTCCACATAGGACACATGTATGACACATGGGTGTTCCACATAGGACACATGTATGACACATGGGTGTTCCACATAGGACACATGTATGACACATGGGTGTTCCACATAGGACACATGTATGACACATGGGTGTTCCACATAGGACACATGTATGACACATGGGTGTTCCACATAGGACACATGTATGACACATGGGTGTTCCACATAGGACACATGTATGACACATGGGTGTTCCACATAGGACACATGTATGACACATGGGTGTTCCACATAGGACACATGTATGACACATGGGTGTTCCACATAGGACACATGTATGACACATGGGTGTTCCACATAGGACACATGTATGACACATGGGTGTTCCACATAGGACACATGTATCACACATGGGTGTTCCACATAGGTCACATGTATGACACATGGGTGTTCCACATAGGACACATGTATGACACATGGGTGTTCCACATAGGACACATGTATGACACATGGGTGTTCCACATAGGACACATGTATGACACATGGGTGTTCCACATAGGACACATGTATGACACATGGGTGTTCCACATAGGACACATGTATGACACATGGGTGTTCCACATAGGACACATGTATGACACATGGGTGTTCCACATAGGACACATGTATGACACATGGGTGTTCCACATAGGACACATGTATGACACATGGGTGTTCCACATAGGACACATGTATGACACATGGGTGTTCCACATAGGACACATGTATGACACATGGGTGTTCCACATAGGACACATGTATGACACATGGGTGTTCCACATAGGACACATGTATCACACATGGGTGTTCCACATAGGTCACATGTATGACACATGGGTGTTCCACATAGGACACATGTATGACACATGGGTGTTCCACATAGGACACATGTATGACACATGGGTGTTCCACATAGGACACATGTATCACACTTGGGTGTTCCACATAGGTCACATGTATGACACATGGGTGGTCCACATAGGACACATGTATGACACATGGGTGTTCCACATAGGACACATGTATGACACATGGGTGTTCCACATAGGACACATGTATGACACATGGGTGTTCCACATAGGACACATGTATGACACATGGGTGTTCCACATAGGACACATGTATGACACATGGGTGTTCCACATAGGACACATGTATGACACATGGGTGTTCCACATAGGACACATGTATGACACATGGGTGTTCCACATAGGACACATGTATGACACATGGGTGTTCCACATAGGACACATGTATGACACATGGGTGTTCCACATAGGACACATGTATGACACATGGGTGTTCCACATAGGACACATGTATGACACATGGGTGTTCCACATAGGACACATGTATGACACATGGGTGTTCCACATAGGACACATGTATGACACATGGGTGTTCCACATAGGACACATGTATGACACATGGGTGTTCCACATAGGACACATGTATGACACATGGGTGTTCCACATAGGACACATGTATGACACATGGGTGTTCCACATAGGACACATGTATGACACATGGGTGTTCCACATAGGACACATGTATGACACATGGGTGTTCCACATAGGACACATGTATGACACATGGGTGTTCCACATAGGACACATGTATGACACATGGGTGTTCCACATAGGACACATGTATGACACATGGGTGTTCCACATAGGACACATGTATGACACATGGGTGTTCCACATAGGACACATGTATGACACATGGGTGTTCCACATAGGACACATGTATGACACATGGGTGTTCCACATAGGACACATGTATGACACATGGGTGTTCCACATAGGACACATGTATGACACATGGGTGTTCCACATAGGACACATGTATCACACATGGGTGTTCCACATAGGACACATGTATGACACATGGGTGTTCCACATAGGACACAGGTATCTTTTATAAACATAGGTGGTGAGAGAATACATCATTGTATACCTATAGGCCTACTGCACTAGAGTTTATTTATCTGATTGTATTGTGTAATATGACTTTTACTTACAACTTTATGTAATGGCAAAATAGACAATGCAATCAGGAGTTATTACACATACTTAATTGCTAGGAGAATATTTCAAAATATTTCCAACACAAAAAACCCAGAAAAATATAGCAAAAATGGTCCTTACCCAGGACTGGTTTTTGATTGATTTCGTGTATAGTGTGCAGCCCTTTCTCGATAATATCATTTTCCCCTAAAAAAAAGTGTGCACTATCCCCGAATATTTATGGTATTGTAAATAAATAGGTGATTTTCTTAGAATTCCCAGAGATATGGTATATTTAATAACCTTATAGATAGAAATTTTTAGTTTTGTGAAAAGGAGATTACTACCTGGTATTTATACAGTGATTTATTAACAATCTTGTGACAGCATTTAAAATAAAATCACTTGGGACCATTAAACCTCACAATGATTGAGATAAAAAGACTTTGAAGACTCTTTTCTGGATATTTTACAGACTGCTGCTGTGGGACTGTGACGACCGTAGCTATAGTTATTACATAGAGGTATCCTCAGACCAAAGAAACTGGCACATGGTGGCCGATAAACACGATGAACCATGCAAGTAAGTACACGGCATAGAGGTCAGTATTTACACGTTGTACCAGAGATTTACCTCCCTTAAATGTTTAAATTGATGATAAACTTACCAAAAATTCTGATTAAAAAGTAAGCTACGTATACCCCTCCCCCGTTGTTGAAATTTTCAAGGGAGATAACTCTGACAACACTTTTGTTTGATAATAGTTTGGAAAAACAGATATAATAAATGTTACAGCATCACAGATGGTTTAAATGCTTGTGATACTGTTACACTCTATATATAAGGGAGATAACTCGAACACAAAATATCGCTTCATTTTGTAAGACAGAATACATCCTTAAATAATGAATGATATTGTTCTCTTTTGTAAATATAAACAAATTTTCTTCAAAAATAAAATCATTTTGTAAAAAAAAAAAGTATAGATAGTCATTTAACATAGGGTCAACTGTACTGAATATTAATAAAAAAAAAATACAGTTTTAGACTTATGTTATGATTAATATGTCAAAAGTCAACATAATTATGCTTCGTTGTTGATTAATGTGAGGCAATTATATTTTGCAGGTCATGGCAGCTCATCAGATTTGAAAGAAGACCAGTGGCTTTTATCAAAATAGTTGGAACTAACAACACAGCAAATGAGGTTTGTATACACGAACAAATTGTATATATACCCGTCTTCACATGATCGTGGCTGTTGTGAGGATATTTAAACCACAAACAAATTGTATATATACCCGTCTTCATACGATCTTGGCTATTGTGAGAATATTTAAACAACAAACAAATTGTATATATACCCGTCTTCATACCATCTTAGCTGTTGTGAGGATATTTAAACCACAAACAAATTGTATATATACCCGTATCATCATATGATCTTAGCTGTTGTGAGGATATTTAAACCACAAGCAAATTGTATATATACCCGTCTTCATATGATCTTAGCTGTTGTGAGGATATTGTTCTCATATATTCTATAATTGCCATATAATTTTGTCACAACTGACTTTTAGCTTTAAAATGCAACAAAACTATTCATACAACTGCCAAGTCCTTTCAAGCTAACAATTATGATGTTTCATTATTACACATGTATGTGAAATGAAGCCAGCTGCAGTTTTGATTGAGACATGTAAAGAAAATATACAATTACATGGTATGACGATTGAAGCCGTGTGCCAAGTTTTAAATAGCATGAAATCCATACTTTTTTTAATGCTGGCAGTGTTCCAGATTGGTGGGCATATTGACCCACCTAGACATAACACTGATGTCAAGACAAAACACAAAGTTACATTGAATAATGATTGAATTCATGCATTAAATTTTAAATAGCATGATATCAATGCTATTTGAATGTTGGCTAAGTTCCAGATTTTTAAAAGAAGAATCTTAGACTTGTATAAATCTTACATGAAAATCGATTTGTTAATTAGCTACCTGATAGTTACTCTTGACAAAAGATTCATTGCAATGTAATGTTTTCGTCAATCCATATAGGATCTGCACAGCTGTATGAAGATCTACTGTATACTAAGTTAGAGAGCCAAATCTTTTACAAAGCCGATCACTTCTAATGACCAATGTGCTTCCTCTGTAGGTGTTCCACTGTGTCCACTTTGAGTGTCCAGCTGAAGTGTCCGGAGCCGTGTCGTCGATGTCCATTCCGAGGGTCCTTGCTGCTGGTTTGACCAATGAGAGTGGTCAGCAGAGTGCAGCCAATAGCCCCAGTCAGCAGACACCTAGCTCTGAACAGTACGCCAGTGCTGATTATTCCCCCCAAGATGCCCCTGAGGCCGATCGCATGGACGCAAATAGCAGTGACGAGGCAGAAGACTGATGACCAGGCACACGTTGCAGCACTCCACTGCACCAGGGTCATACTTCATTATTCTGCTGTCATTCTGTAGCACACAATGTTATTAAGTAATCCTTTGGCCCGACTCCAATTTATCAGGACTCTAATAACACCTTAACACCCCCACCCCACCCCACCCCCTTATAATTGGGGCTTAGGGAGGGGGGGGTGGCTTTCCAGATAGTTTTATCCCAATTTTATGAATTCAGAAACTAGGACTCTGCTTGATACTGAGAATTCAGTAAATTTGACAATGTTTTGCAAATTACACATTAACTGAATTAGCACAAAAATATGTTAGAAGAGTACGAATATAAACAATGTATTTACAGTATCTCCAGGTTCAGGGTCATCACATCCTTGATCCTCTCTGTAGAGAGCGTAGGTGATCGTAACCCCTGGGAATTGAGGATGGGGGTCATCATTGAAAATAGTATTTTGATTCAACAGGATAGTCAAGTTTTCAAATTCTCTCAATGAAATTAGGAATTGAGATCTTAAGTATAACACTTTCTGTATTTTTATTGTGACAAGTATTAGTTATTTCATGGAGGATATATTTACAAAGTGACAATCAAAATTAGTGAAATTATTCCCAATATTCTTTTCTTGATTATTGAGTCAGACCTGTACTTAAACTGTGGAGAAATTTGTTCGACTTACTGATTATTTTTATACAGCTCTCCTAATTCCTGTTGATAATATGATTTTGTTTGCCACATTTTTCCTATTTGAGTAAGAATGGCTGATATACATTGAAACCTCGCTAATGTGTACTGTAATTATCTAGAAAACATGTTTCCCCGATTCCTATATTCAGAATCCTATTGAATTAGATACTATTCTTTTTAATGAAATCAGAGCACAAGAAGTTTTTCTCTAAACAATTAAGAAATCAGAGTCCTGTTATTATAAATGATATTCCATAATTAAAGCTTTTCAGATGTCAGATGTCTGCTTTCATCTTCTTCCACTTGTTCTCTCTTCAC